TTGCTGGTAAACACTCATAACTAACGGACTCATTATCTTTACCTTTGTTGAATCCGAACGAATCCGCGAATTCTTTGTAATGTCCTGTCTGCTTAGTATTTCAACACGAACATTCTCTTCGTATATACCTAAACGTTTAGTACACATATTTGTTAGGTCTTACGCTATCCTATTCTAAGAATTTAAGTTTCTCTGAAACTGACCTTTATGTGCAAAATATATTTTTGTGGGTTTCATAGGAATTGATTTCACTGGGATTTTTATATATTCTTTATTTATAATATAATCTACTTATCACTATATCTTCAATACCTAATTACTTCTCTCTCTCCATCTAAAAGCTACCGGAAAGAGAGCCATTTTGAGCCATTTTGAGCAGTATAACGTCCATTGTTTTCTTTGTGTGAATCTTTCTGTAATTACTTTGAAAAGAGCGATAAAGACTTTACTAACGATATTTTTTAAAATTTCAGTGAGTTTAATTCTAATATTATAGTAAATAAATGAAAATTCCCACCATTATGAACTTAACCATGTTAAATTCAACACTTGACATAAAGTACCCAATAAAGTATAGTTTATGATTGGTCTCTCGGTTCGCCACGCCCTGTCTAAGTGTCCTAATGCTTTGTTCAAGTTTCGCAAGCAACACGTGCACTGTCTCATGTGGCCTATATAAATGTAGTAGGTACCTAAGCATGAGCCATTATGTGTTACTTATAGCATTGGAGGTGATGTGGGTGCATTGAGACGTGTGAAATAAAACTAGCGCACAACCAATTAATTTGTTGACATATGTGGGCAGATATTAAGTAGATTAGCTTCATAAATTTTATTCACAAATAGTAAACCGCCCCGGCTTCGTATGGCTTTTCTAAAAATATAATAAGGGCCTATACTCGCTGATAATATAGGTGAAAGAATTTAAAAAATTTGTTGAGTATTTTTTGCATTTATCCTTTATAAGCAAAAAATCAAATCTGTCCTCGTATAACGTAATACTAGCTAAGATTCATGAATGAGTGAGTGAGTGATCTTACTAATATAATAAAATTGTAACTATACGATGTCTGTACCTACATGGGTAATATTTAAGAAAACATTATATGAGGGGTCTTAATAAGACCACAATAATTTTTAGAAATTTTATCCTTCCGCCTGTCTGTATAATTGTTCCGGTATCACACAGAAACTACTGCATTAAATTAATAGCGGTTTTCACAGTTGCATTCCTAAAGGTCTAAGTTCAAACCCGGTGTATTCTTCATTTTGATACGTTGATTAAAAATAGTCTATTTCATTAGTTGTCCAACTTCTGATATTCACGTGTATGAAATAGAAAAGCTAATTCTAAAATAAAATCTTAAGCTTATTTTCAACAATCTTCAAAAAAAGAAATTCTCAATTTGGCGTTTTTTTTTTTTTAATTTGTTACGTAATAATCCCGTCATTTATAAACTGATTTGGAAGATTCTCTTTTATTTATTTATTTATTTATTCATTAGAACAAATATGTGTACATGGCGGTCTTATGCTAAAAGCATTCTCTCCCAGTCAACCATAGGGAAGTGTCAGAATACTCGAATGCGGTACTACTAATTATTGATATACACACATGCTAAAATTACATATATAAACGAATAAATATGTATGAATAACAAATATACTTACACATATATTATACATGAAATTAAGAATAATATAAAGCACTTACTGCTCGGATAAAGATAAAAAGTAATCGTGAACGTTTTTTTGAAAAACGGTTTAGTCGGTAGTCTCTTAATGGCATCAGATTGTAGTATTAATATTGTGATATCCATGGTTCTTTTCATATTTATAAACGACGGTTACTATTTTTCACCAGATAGGCCGTCAGTTTGTTTGCAATTTCAAGTTGTATAAAAAATTCTTAAATTAAATTTTCAAGTTCAATAACCGACACTGGTACAAAAACCGCAAAAATAAATTGGGACTAGGTTGATTGTGTTAGGCGAATACCGGACGAGCTGTGGACAAAAACTGCCAATGAATGGCCTCCACAAAACATCAAAAGTCAACATGTTTTTATAAATAGAAATAGAATCATAATATTAGTTTCCCTTAACCCATATTAGCCGTTAAGTGTCCACTATTGAATATAGACCTCCCTCTTCGTGGATTTTACCAGTTGTTACCACGCTTGGCCGGCAGATTGGCAACCGCCTTTAGGCTTTGGTAAGCTTTTAAAAGGGACGCTACTGCCCATCCCTCGCCCTCCCTTAGTCTCCTCTTACGTCACTCTCTGAAAAAGAATGGGTGGCCTACTCTATGCCGGAGTCGCACGGCTATTATTTTACGTTTGCGAAATACAGTAATAGAGGGCAAGTGAAAATAAAGTCAGATCAGTTGACCCATCGCAACGAATTAACTAGGAAATAACCATAACAGTCTTCACGGAAGGTCGCGTATAGACCAACCTGATGGGGACTATTGTTAACATAGAAGCCACTAATCTTTGTTAGTAATAATCCCCCCTCCCCCCCCCCCCACCTTAAAAGACAAATATATCAAAACGATATGATATTAGTTAGATTTGCCTAATAAACCTCGTGGGAACGAAGGCTTCTTTCTTATAGTGGGTTCAAATAGCTAATGTTATAAGTTAAAAAAATAGTTAATGTTATAAGTAACATTATGTATACGTAGGTAATTTGCCTTTGCCTTAATCATAAGAAAAAGAATTTATTCTTATACCTGTATATCGAATTAATAAGTTCATTCGTAAATACCTAAGTAGATATGTACTTTACGTGAATTATCATTTAAAAATGTAAAAAAGACTAAATTACGATGAAATGTCAACAGCGAAGTTCGAGGAAATGAGGTGGTTTTACTTTGTTGACATTGACATTATGTAAACTTGACACAGATGGCGCCATAATATTGCCTTAACTTTCTATTGTATTAAATTTTATAGAGTTGGCCAAATGATGTTTTGATTACTGCTCATATCTAGTAACTGTTATTTATTCGTAGATAATTGAACAAGTGATAAATTTAAACAGCTGGATCTTATAATCATCATCAACATTTCAACCTTTATCTGTCCATTGCTACATAGATCCCTCCCTCACAGATAAGTAAGTCTTAAGCCACCTGCATCCACTGACTCCCTGCAATGTATTTGAGGTCGTCACTGCATCTAGTGGAGGGTCGTCCTACACTGCATTTACCCGTACAGGATCGCCATTCAAGAACCTTTATTCCCCATCGTTTATCGGTTCTTCGAGCTATATGACCAGCCTAGTGCCACTTCAGCTTAATTACTTCACCCTAAAGAACTGAAAGTATGACAATTTATAATATTATATGTAGCAATGTAGGTATGTATTTGCACTGGTAAAGTGACAACCAATATACCTATTAGCTACGCAGTTATATGTTCCAACTAGTCATACTAGATCGACGTAAATTGAGCTCACAATTACCGTCAACTTTAAACGTATCGTAAATACCAACACAATCTATAACACTTATTTGCTTTAACATCAGGCAATTACTCTCAGTATGTAAATTGATTCCAAGTATCAAAGTAGATATTAAAATACATAATCACTTTATTTTAAAACTAGTGATCCAGCCCGGCTTTGCATGGATAAATAGAATTTTCGAAAATAATATATAGCCATATTACTCATTATAATTATACTTCCTCTTTATAATGCTAGTATAGAAAAGACATACTGGCAGCTTTTATTGTAGACCTTTATATTTCTTTTTATTTTAAATTTTGTCTTCATTCCATAATCAAATATCTTAAAAAGAATTATTAATTTTTATACATTCATATTCTTACAATTCACGACCTCAGCATTATTATGACAGGTCGTAGTAGTGAACCATATGGCCCTGAAACCCTTAAACAGATATATTTTATGTATTAAAATAAATATGAGCCGAAAATGTATTCAGCCAAAATAATTTTATACAGAATTACTCATAAGAGATATACCAAGCCGAAATCTACTAATGATATTCATGAATTTATCCCATATACAACAAATTCACCATAGATAACTACAAATTTTATTTCACTAAATGCAACAAATTCTCAGATAACTTAATTTGATACATAAACTGATTTCTTGCAAAAACTATCGGTCAAGAGTTATTCCAAGTACTCGTATAGGTATGTCATGAATCATTAATGGAGCATTCAAGGTAAATCCTAATTGCTCTCTTTACAGCCGACACGTAATGTAATTCATAAAACAAGTTTAAACATGAAGCCAGGAGAAATAATAACCGCATCCAGATGATAATTATAATTTTAATTCAAACGTCTGAGGCTAAATCATAATTTATAAACGGCAATTCCCAGAGAATAGGGATGAGGGAGGAAATAGTAGTTTACACAGCAATTCCCTCAATGGCATAGTTAACAGCTACGTTATAAAAAGATAGCTAATAAATAAAATAATAATAAGTAATTTAACATAATAAAACATTCATATGTCCGGGTGCCGTCTAGTTTCAATACATAAATATATTATTGTTGTATGAGTACAATTAATCAATTTATTTTTTGTAAATACGTAATATATTTTCCGAAATTTTTAGGCTGAACGAAACACAAATTTGATTTTAAAATTACTTAACACATACTCGTATCATTTAAAAATATTCTCTCCCTCTCTCTCTCTTTATTTCACAGTTTTCTTTTTTTTCTTTTATTTATAATGCACTGAAAGTTTAACTAATGAAAATTTTTTTGCATTAAGAAAAACAGCTATTAACTACATTAATAACTAGCTAAGCAATATCCTGCGACTTCGCCCGCGTGAGTCGATACATAAAGTACGTCGTGTACTAAGTTAGAATGTAAATTACTAGTAAACCGAATTTTATTCAAATCCGTTTAGTAATTTTTGAGTGAAAAAATGACAAACATGCTAACAAAAATGCTTCCTTGTAAACTTTTACATTTATAATATTAAAAGAATATGTTGTAAAATTTCCAGTTCCTCTGGCTGGTTGTAGCCGTGGCAGCGAACCCTGCGCCAGGTCGCGTGCCCAAAGTCTACAATGCGCTTATAACATCCAATCAGAACTTGGAGCCGAGCAAAGCATACCCCGTCTACCAACCAGTACTGCACGAAACCTACGCATTTCCTTTTCAACCTTCAGTATATTTTGGAGAATTCCCTCTTAGCAATGTAAGTACTGACCAAAGAATATTTTACTAGCATGTAAGCCATGTGAAAAGCCTTTGTGTGTAAATAAAAAAGAAAATGGATAAATAAATATAACAAAAATGATAATTTTCATTACCTATCCCAATAACGAAGTACCGCAATTGTAATTCACTGTTCATCTCAAAGATTGACTAATAAAGTTATTTAAATGAATAAATTTAAAAAAATATATAGTATCCAAAATATATGTTTTGTATGCATTAATATAGCTCTCATCTATCATCATCAATCATTTTATCCTTGTATATAAATTCATCACTATACAGCGATTGACAATGGGTTGACTCCTAGATGACACCACGTGCTTGGTAGTAGAACATTCTCTTTCTTTATCGCAGTCCGCAATCGCTATACCCATATCATTTCTTTCAGCGTCTTTAACACATTATATATTGCGCAACTTTAACCCATTATAGTCGCCCGTGCTACACGTGAAGGCCAATGACCGGTCCACCGTCAAATTGACGACCAGAAGATGATTAGGGTGCTCGATCATAGTTCAAGATGATTAGGGTGCTCAATCAAGTTATTTCAGTAGCAATCTTAAGTCGTCTGTTTTACTTGCTCTATGTACCTTAACTTGTACTCTACCCACAAATATACAATGGTCCTATATAGCAGACGCTCCACCACTAGAATCAAATAACGAGGACCAGATTTATTTTTATGTTACTTAGAATGGCAAACAATCTGACGGTTCACCTGATGGAAAATGGTAACTGTCGCCTATAAACATCAACTCCACCATGGACATAACAGAGTATACTGTTTCGCCCATGATACCTGAATAAATCCTTCAACTAAATATAACTCTTGGCAATTGAGATTGATTGAGATATTAAAAAATAATTAATATTATTTAAATACATTTTCTTATTTCAGGGCATACAGCCTGTACCTGGCCTGCCGCCGAAACAACCGAATGAATCACCAACGCCAGCACCAGCACCTCAACAGCCAACAGAGAAACCAACAGAACTCCCACCAGCTGCCTCTGAACCTTCTGAGCAACCACAAAGCGCATCAACAACTTCAGCACCACCACTACCACCCAGTACTGAATCTCCCATTCCTCTAAACGAGTTTGGTCTTCCACCCCAAGTCATACCTCTCGGACGAATCGACCCAGCTTACGAGGGCTTCTCTCAAGTGGGACCTTTGACTTATACTTACCCTAGTTTCCGATTATACGATCCATTTGATCCCTTCAGTTTGAGCCCTTTTGCTCAACTACCTTCACTGTACCGTCCTTTACCTAGTATTATAAGACAGAGTGCGCCAATACTAGTGAACAAACAGACAATCCCTACAGCAGCCCCTCCGACTCGTATTGAACAGTCGGCTGATAGCCCACCTCCGGAACCCATTGATCTCAATCTTCTGAACTACTCATCAAAGGATCCGAGCATACCCGATGTACCCCCACCACCACTCCCTCAAGGGAATCTTAAGTCTGAAAAATCAGAATAATTACAAACCTATTATAAACTAACAAAGGTATTATATTAAATTTAGCAACAAAATAATATGTAAAAATTTACTTATTTGAAATTATTAGTTTTAAGACAGAAGATAAGAGGCATGACAAAGTTCCTGGAGATTGTATTAATTTATTATACAATTTTGACTTAAAATATGTATATCTAGTTGTGTTCACATAATTGATGGTATTAATTAGTATGATTTATAAAAATATAAATCCCAATTTATGCCTTTTATCATTTCTACTAGTTCATCCTAGTGGTACATATCACTCATAATAATAATACTTCCTTCACAAACTGTTATAGACGTTATGATATTTACGTATACCAAATTTAAAGACATGGTACCTAACTAGATCTCTGTTGGTAGACTTCACTCTAATAAACACACGTGCTAGTTCGTCAGTTACGTTCAAATAGCACAGAAATTATTTTTGACATTCTAGATATAATATCAACTTAGAATAAAGAAATAGATTAAAATCAAGCTAAACCAATAAATTTTCTTTCTTCCTTGGCTTCATCAATTTCACTAAAAACATTCATGGATCGTAATATAGACAGTTCATCATAAACAGTTTTTGAGTTTTAGTTGTGTGCTCTTTGTTTGTGTTTAGTTCACCTTTAAATGAAAGCCAGAAATTTAATCTATATAAAGTACCAGAGGAAGACTTTGTATAAAAATCGTTTGCCCATGCAAACGCATCTTGCCCCTATCGTGTTTCTACCAAACAGCAACAGACACAAATGCACAGAGAAAAATTAATAACAGTTTTTTTTCTTGTTTGCATGGCTGTGTTTCTTTGCCCTAAAAAGAGCAAAATACTGTGTTTATGGCGTGAAAAAATTTACAGGGTACAGAGAGAATAACACCTGAGTCCTCATTATATAAAATTTATTTGCAATGGGTAATGCTGTAGGGGTATATTCTAAATAGGGCGAAACAGTATACTTTATTATGTCCATGGTTCTGTTCATGTCTATAGGCGACGGTTACCACTTTCCATCAGGTGGGCTTTCAACTTGCTTGTTACTATAATATAACTTGCATAAAAAAATCATGTGTTCATGACTTTCCATCGATTTAGGCATAAGCTTGTCTGTAATTTTTAAGTTGCATAAAAAATAAACAAAATGTCAAAAAAAAATCAGTATGGTTTATATGTGATTAAAATATTTCAATATAATTAGAATTTAATCATCTTAAAAAACAGTGATGAAATCCAAAAATTACAATAACAAATAAATATTACTGGGCAAAATATTTACACAATAACTTACGTAATATGATTTTAATTACAACGAATTAATTATTTTAATATATTTCTCTCATATTTTAGTTTTTTTTCTCCAATAATTATATAACTAAATAAATAAATAAATAAATAAATAATTTTCATTCAAGCACTCAAATCCAACATGGCGGTATGTGAAGTTACACCGACGTAAAGAGTGCAATTAGATAAATTGTTCAAGCGCTATATTGTAGCGGTTGTGATTAGTAATTATCGGTTATCAATCTTTTCCGGATGAAAGGGAATCAAATTAGACGTAGTAAGACGCAAATAAACTACAACAAATATTTCGAGAAAGAACTCGAACACGATTGTTCGTAATTTTACATAATTTATGCACGATATATTATATATACAGTCAAAAGCAAGAAAGAAAAAAGTATTTATTTAATACTTATTAATTACAAAACGATACTTAACAATGAAGAAAAGAAGAAGAAAAGCACGAAAACGGTGTCAATCAGCTATGTACCATGTCATGTCACAAACAGCAATAGACACAAATGCATACTGAAAAAAGATAAAAAAAGATACATGTACAAAAAATAAAAAAAAAAAATGAAACGAAATGTATATAAATAATAACAATTTTTTTTTTAATATCTAATCGTGCGTGTGCCACTATACCATTTTTCAAAACGGCCACAACATCTGTTCTTTAGATTATTGCTTTGCTCTAAAAAGAGCAAAATACTGATATTCTGTTGTGGCCAAAAGTGAGCCGCGAAATTCCATTGAAAAAATAATAATATGTAATTGATTTTCAGTGGCACTAATTTTAAGAAGAGAGAAAACACTTACTACTTAGAATCAAACAAAAAATAATTATATAAAATTTATTTGCATTAAATAAGATAGGTACCGGTGGTCTTATCTATATATAATAAAACTGTAGAGGTCGAATATCTCTAAATAGAAAAAAAACGTTAGAACGGGATGTTAGAAGTGAAATAACATAGAGATTTTTTCAATTTTTTTATTTCTCTGTTTGTGTATTTTTACGGGCTAGTCTAAAATCTATTGAATCGATTTAAATGTAATTTTGCATGTTATTTTAGATACTTTTAATCACGGAAAATTAAAGAGTTCCCGTGGTATAGTTAAAAAACTATAGTATAGTAAGTTATACAGCTTAATACACAACCTACTTAGGTAAAGTCATTTTGACCTAGGGCAAAGAGTGAGAACAACGCGTCATTTGTTAATTTTGGTCCAGTATTCCCAGACATAATAAATAGGTAGGTACATGCATCGTACATACTAAACAGGAATAACAAATACCACGCGGACGAAGTCGCGGGCATCAGCTAGTGTTTTATAAAGTTTCGACCCGAAATAATAATTAAATAGATAATTTTTCATTGTGATTATATATTTGAGATTGTTATAAATTTTATTTGTATTAATACACACATATAGCGGTACGTATTATATGTATATAGAGGTACAATATCATATGAACAAGTATACAGGAAAATATATTCAAACATAAGTCGTAGTTAATAAAGTCTTATTTTACTATCGTACATGGAATGTTTAAGAAAAAATTATATGAGAAGTCTTAATAAAAGCAATAGAGGCCAATACATTTTTTTTTTAATTTAGTTATCTTTCTTCTGTTTGTGTTCCGGCATCACACTAAAACTACTGCACTAAATTCGATGACATTTTCACAATGTTCCTGAAAGTCAAATTTAAAATCTGGTGTATGTTTTGTCTTCACACGCCGAAGTGGAATTAAATAGATGCATTAGTTCTTCTACTTTTGAAATGCATGAGTAATAAGTATCATGCAAAAAGCTAGTAATATGTATAATATACGTATTTGTGAGCTCTTTATTACAAACGCCTTTGTCAGGGGTTGACATACATACATATCTGTCACGCCTGTCTCCCATTAGGGTAGGCAGAAACAATGGAATGAACAGAGAAAAAAAGAATGTCAGAGGTTGAATGGTCATAAGTTTATTGGTGATCCACTTGACTACCATAACAGCGGCGAAATTTCGTCAAATAGTAAGATATGTGATATATATTTAATTTCTGTTGTAAACTATTTTGTAGATGTATTTATAGATGTCCAGACCCCAAATCGATAGGCATAACTTAATTTTATAAAATGGCAACGCAACCAAGAGTATTTTACCAGAAGAAGAAATTGTATAAAATTCATCTACATAAGTACTTCTGTCCTATAAGTATTTCTATCTTGAAGCTGGTGGATTTGCATGCAGTGACGTAATAATAGGAAAGCAGAACGGGCAAAATGCCACGGGTCCCTGGCGTAAAAGGGCCCTGGTCCAAAATGAAACTACAACGTCGAGCTTTTTTAGATAAAGATGGTATAGTTATGCTACTCCTTGCATAGCTGTGTTTTAGTTTGAAGGGTAGAATATGGCAGTGAAATTATAGGGTACGAACCCCTCATGTTCGACATACTTAAGGATAATCCTCAGGCGTGTCAGAAAATGAGTAGTATCTACCATGGGCATCACATAATATTTTAAGATATCTGTGGTACTCATGTATATAAGCGACAATTATCAATTACCATCAGCCTGGTGGTCAGCTTGTTTTCCATTCGAAGTTGACATAAAAAAGTATCACAGGATACCACAGTATGTATTCTTATAGTCTGTGTACTCCATGGTATTATGTATACAAATTACAATAATTAATTGTAATTTCGACTGTTTGTCTTTCGCAATAGTATAAAAAAATCTATAACAGCGATATGGAAGTTATGAATAAACATAGAATAGATACATCGAAATAACAAACACTTCATCGCACGTAATATTGACTTTGTTAAAAGCCATAGTAAATTGGTTCTTTGCCACGAGATAAGGGATTTCATCCATTGTTTAACAAGTAGTTCGTATGGTAAAATCAATGAATGTGGTTATAACCGTTATCAAGAGTGTTTCCATGTGTGGATAATAACATCGATGGTAACATACTCTGATTACATGCATCCTCATTGACAGGATGTTTTTTGTTTGTGATTTTCATTTTTTTTATTTTATTTTATTTATTTTTTGTTACAAAATGATTACGAAAACTTACACTAATATTAATAACTTAAAAGATAATCGTTAAAACTGATTTTATTTTTAAATAATAAATGAAAGAAATACCATATCCAAATAATTTTAATAAAGCTTAACAGAAAAATCAATACTTAAATTATTAAGTTACTACACTTATATAAGCTATTCTTTGTATAAATATACATAGGTATTATTTTATACAACTTGTATGCATTACAAAGCTGCATTCGTAAATCGAGAAATTGTTTCTTATAATCCAGCCAATATTTAATTCTCTTGGGTATAAAAAAAATAATCATGATAAGATTTAAAAAAAAATTAAACTTATTCATTTTGATACATGATAATAAATTAAAAATTCCAGTTACTGCCATTCTTTTGACGGTGACCCGTAAAAATATAAATCCCAATTCATACCACCAACCATATTGTACGGCAAATACCATTCATAGTAATGATATTTAAATCGTCTCTTTGAATGGCAATATGTTATGCGCGGTACACACATCTGAAAATTGTAGGCCGTACTGCGGAACATGTCAGTCTCGTATGATGTCGCTCTTAGTATTATACATATGGGTATTCTTATTATATCTATCCAACCCTGTGGTGAAAAACAATTGCATTAGTACATTATAAAAAAAAGAAACATGTCTTAAGTATTTACATAATATTTATCGCTAAAAAAAAATATTAGAAACTAAAACCACTAAACGCTGTCATTAGATTAAAATATATAACCGTGAATTGAACCAGTTGATTTTGAATAAAAGAAAAGTCCTAAAAATTACTGCAGCATCGCTTATAAAGATTTTTTTTTATACCACTGAGGTGGCAAACAAGCAAACGGCCCACCTGATGGTAAGCGGTTACCGTAGCCTATGAACGCCTACAATACCAGAGGCATTATGCGCGCGTTGCCGACCCTGAAGAAACCTCTTTACCCCCCTTTTGAAGAATCCCATGCTGTAGTCTCTTGTGAAAACCTCGGCAGGGAGCTCATTCCATAACCTGAGTGTTTGTGGCAGAAAACATCTCTGAAACCGCGTTGTACGCGACCATTTAGGCAAAGATTAAAACAAATTAAAGAAAAGAGCACATTTTAAACAAAAATAAGTGCACTTCTTAGTAGAATAAAATGTTCTTACATTATGCTGAGAATTAATCACCTTCTGTATTATGGTTGTGCACTAAGTATTAATAGTTAATAACACTTTAATAAGAAGAAAGAAAGAAGAATTACGAAAGAGATTTATCGAACAAGAATGAATAGAGATGACGGTGGGAGCTGCCCTAGACGGACGTATGTTGACCAAATAAACGACGTACTGAAGAACGGCCAAATTAAAAGTACCCGTAACTGACGAGCTTGTATGAAAAGATTAATTGATGAATGTGGAAGAAGCGAGAGGTTTGTTTCAATCAAAGCATTTGGCGTTCCGTTGTTTCTGCCTACCCTAATGGGAAACAGGCGTGACCGATATGGTTATGGTTATAAAATATCAATTGCAACACTAAGTATAACTTGTCAATAACATTTTTCCTTCTTTATTCTGACTTGCTAACCCGGCTATTTATCGAGTTATAATAAAAATATTGGGAGTCATTTAGAGAGACAAAAACTACCCTATCTCTCAATTTAAAGCAAACAATACACATTTAATATATTTAATGTGAACGATCATAATAACATAGGATTTTTATATTTTATGATGATAAAGGCAAAACTCACGAAGTATCTGTTCCGTGCATATATTTATATAGTAATAAATAATGATAAGTTCACGCTTTTACTTTTAGGTAGAGGTAGGAATTTTGGTAATAACTTCATTTACGAACCCTTATTATAATCTTTCCAAGCACATCCATATGATCCAAGTGAACATGAGTGTACAATATCACATTCTTCCTTTTACAGTTTCCAAAGAAATATTCGCTGTGTATATACTCTGAAATAATAGTAAGCGTTGCTGTAGCAAATGTAGTATATAACCAGAGTACAACGGGGGGAAGGGATTGTTAGTAATGCGGACTATCAGTCCCATTGCTAGTCCAGTCAATATGTCCCATAAGGTCAACCTCCAACGTGGTCTTCCTGGAAACCATCGAGCTGCATTCCTGGTGTATTTATCACGATGGGCTAATTGATGTGCCTTTTCATTCTCACCTATCACCTCTCACTGATGCCCCGCCAGTGTATACCGTTAGCGCAGGTGGGGTAACCATTCCTTTATCATCAATTAAAAAAAAACAGAGTACGACAAAAAATCTAATACTTGATAAACACGCTTTGTTAGTATGTAATAATGAATGTTTGTTACTCTTTCACGCAAAAACTATGGAATGGAATTAAATGAAACCATGAGATTCAGGTAGTAAATAAAAATAATCGACTCAAGATAGGTTCAGCTGTTAACCACATGCTTTCAATCTGAACCCTGTGAGTACATATACTACGTCTCTGTTTAGATCCCAAACTATACTATTTGAGTCGTGGATAAAATACCTCTGGTACCACTCATAATCTTTGACGTCAGTAGTAAACCCTTAATAAATGATCTGAGATTAATGTTTTATTGACGTGAAAATGGCCTGTACAAATACGCATAATAAATTGACAGCAAATTTAAAAAAAAAATATTAAAGATTAATTTAATTGTAATACCATTTATATGTATTGTACAAAAAATAACATTATTTATTTTTAACAAAAACAATTTTTTTCTTTAAATGTATCGAATAGAAATTAAGCAACAAAACAATCAAAGATTATGGAATTATTTATGATATCACGTATTTTACTAAATCATATATTAATCAATAATTTCACACCTTTTGTTTTAGTAGAATATAATCAGAAAGAAAAAATATAATAAAAAAATAAATAAAAGTGACTTTATTTTTTTGTCACCTTATTGCTACTAGACGGCTTAACCAATCATTATGAAATTTGGTACACATGTACTATACAGGATAGAGAAGGATACAGTCTACTTTTTATCCTGGTCTGTAAACACATATCCGTCACGCGGACGAAGTCGCGGGTAAATGCTAGTAAATAGGTACATAAACAATCAACACTCACCAGGATCTGGAACAGAATTTTGTAATGTTAAATGTTGTAAAGATGTGAAGTATTGCCAACAAAAAGTGGAAGTAACTGTAAACACAGAGTTTTTTAAAAGTGTTTGTATATCTTATATTTTACATATATGACAAAATATAAAATAACATTTACTCGATGTACAACAAAGAATACTAATATAAGTAATTAATTTCACCATATTTCATCACTACTTTAGTCCATTTCAACGTTAATGAACGCTTCCTCAAAGACGTTTAAATTTTATTCAATGCAATAAGTAATGATATTGTAGTCAGTAATCAACAAACAGAAACGCTTTATAAATATTAAAGAAAAACATTTTTCAAGATAGATAAATATTTATGCAATAATTTATAAAACAATATTGTATAACAATAACAATACAGTATGCCACAAATGAGATCGAAATAATTCTTCAAGTCATCGCTTGAAGTGGTAATTAAATTTTAAATTAATCCTCTCTATAATACCTAAATATAAAAATTATTTTTATTGTTATTTTTTAAAATAATTATCATGAATTTTTCATATACTTACTAAATAGATAAAGGCTATTTCTGTAGTTCATCAGGCATGTTTGCGTATGCACGTACAGATGGTTTTCTCGTCATACTGAGAAGGAGAACTGCCTCCTTGTAGTATAGAAGCGCCAACAGCATCCTAAAAGTAATAGCAAAGAAGCCAAACTGCCCACTCCTGAAGCACTGGAACACTATGGAACATTACGAGTCCAATGCAGCTGGGGGTGAACAGCGATAATTGATTTAAATATTGTCTTTTACTGACATAGATATCTAAGTCTTGTACTAATTCGAAATTGATTGTGATCTGACTTAAGAAATTATTATTATTATTATTATTATCAAAAGCTAAATTATAAAAATTAATAATTACGTTAATTATCTCAATCACATGAACAGATGGCTAAAATTATATCTACCTTTATCTACAGTGCTAATAAACCTTAAAAAACGTCGAAAGCTTTTGGGTAACTTTCTTGATTTTATACTATAAGAAAAAAAAATTATATGATATATTTCCATTCTCTTCCGTAAAATTAACTAGTTCCAAGTGGGCATCTATTATAAAATAATATTACTGAAATATAATAATATTTTATATTTTTGCAACACCATGTTTATATCACTTAGGAACATCATAATGTACCAATGCTAACATTACAAGCCTAGGTACATCGGACCCTCTAAATCACAGTCGAGCGCGAAGCCCACTAAATTCCGAACAAGTTTGTGATATAGAATGTAATCTAGTGAAACGGCATGTGTACGTTACTTTTACAAATCTGTCTTCTCGGCACGTATTTACATGTTAGCAAACAGGTAAATAAATAATATTTATAAATATACGTATTTATAGTTTTTAAATAATGTACTTTTACCCAAGCATACTTTATATTTGAATACAAATTTCCAATACTAACATAGGCAATATATCTCTATATATTTTATAAAATTACTTTTATAATATAAAATCGATTATAATCTTAAATGAATGAATATAATATATAATATGACAATAATGATCTAAAGATATCGTATAATAATGTAAATAGTACAGTTTTTTTTATATAAATATTATATGATATTTAATCAATTCTGAAATGGCTTTAATAATTCTTTTTGCAATTGATAGGATTTACTTTAATATTAATTTTATTATAATTGAAGTAGTTGTTTATCTTGTTTAACAGTATTTTAAGTTATATTATCATTTCTTCCATATAAAATAATTCTTTTAAATAAACTAAGTAATGTTTGTATTGGATTACAGGATTGTTTGGAAGAAATTTCAAATAATAATAGCGTAAGTGTAATATGGCACCAAACTCCACCCGCAACTAATGTACAATCAAATCCACTTTGTTATTATAACGAAGAATTAGTAACAAGAAATTGCACCGAAACAAATTGGATACCGCCTATTGAAAAATTACAAACATGTTCAAAGGTCGTCGAATATTTTGATGAGTCAGCATGCCCACCGGGATTGCATAAATTTTCACAAACCGATAACGAGAACTGTTATAAAATACATGAACCTTCCACATGGAACTATCCTTGCTTCAAGAGCGGTGGTGCGTCACTTATTACAGATTTAGATGCAGAGCAATTTGAATTTTTGTTACAATCTTTACATGCAATGCACACTTCTAAACGTTTCTGGTTACCGGCACAACGAGTGAAATCTTTTCACCCGATCGTATGGTATATACCAGGATCTTACTGGGGACATTCCGTTAACTTCAGTAGCAATGTACCTATAAGACCACAAATAAATAATAATTGTTTATTATTAGACATTGAAAGAAAACTTATCAGTACAGAAAAATGCAATAAAGAATATCCTAGTTTATGTTTCTATATAAACGATTTGCATTACCCAGCAAAATGCCCTGATGGATATCACGCTTTTAGATTTATGCCAAATGACGGAATGTGTTTTGGAATCGAAAAGACTGAAAATGGAACCGGTTTTACATTGTCTGATTTTCTTAAGACACAATGTAACAAACCCATGGGACGCGCCGAAAATGGCGAACTACAAAAGTTCATTTTCATGAAAATAGCAGAACAGAGTGAACTTAGCAGAAATAGTTGGTGTTGGTTTGGATCTAATGAATATACAATAAATTATTCTTACAACAATGGAACAAGCATTTTTGAAACTAGCGTAAAACCTTTTGAAAGTGTAATAAACAAACAAGGTACTCTAAGTTTAATGAGTTCAGAAGCCATGTTATCTTGTATGGCTTGCGAAAAAGAAATAATTTATAAAGGAATGAATACAGAGTTTGAAATCGAATACAATAATAATGATCGAAAGATTTATTTAACTGTATATTTTCCGTCAGGTTTATGGAAAGATGAAAATGATGACATAGGCATTCAGTGCTTTTCAGATGCAAAAGGATTTGTTAAAGTAATCAGTGTGGACGAATATCCCATAATTGATGTTGATTTACAGAAATCAGATTATTCCGAATCTGTTAATGTAGAAAAATCTGTATATGTTATTGATCTTGTCACCGACATGCCTGCCCAATATTGGTGTGAAGGCCACACACAAAATTTTTCGTTGATAACTACGGAAAAAATTATTGTAAATCCTAGAGGAAATCAAATACATGTATTTTCACTGACTATTAAAATTTGTTTTTATGCAAATGAAAATACTACTTTGTCAGATATATTGAAAGCAACTGAAAATGTTACAACAATTTTTGAAACAGAAAAAATATTACTGATGGATGTTTCCGAACCTGATTTGAATGAAGTGAAATTAGTGATGCACTTGCATGTTACTGTGAATGATAGTTCTGCAGACAATGGAAAAAATCTACAAGATACTTATATTTTTCTAAAGACTTTATGTGAAAACGAACTTCCTAAACATAATATTACTTTTGTTAGTTTATCTAGTTCTTTATACTGTTTGCCAACCACGTCAATAGATTTCATAGTATTGGACTGGGAATTAACACCAGTTGGTCACATAACTGCACCAAAACAATTCTGTCTTCAAACTAATGGTTTACCTGTAAAAAGACGATGCTATGGCTCCTATCTTCATGGTAGTGTTTGGGGCCAAGTTGAAGGCACGTGTGATAAAAATTACGAACCTTCTGAAAAAACGACCTTTCTTTACAATTTTGCAAAAGGACAAGTTTCAGAGAATGCAACCTCGAGATTTCTAATTGACGGGCTAAATTTTGTGCTCGATGACACTGATATAATAATTCCAGCTGATATATATTACTTGGCAATGTCTTTAAAACATATTTTAAATATTGCGCATGAAAACCAAAATTCAATCGAAATGGGAGATATTGAAAATATAGCCTGGGTTATGGACCGGGTTATGGACCTAGACATTGGATACTTGCATTTAGCACAAACACTAAATTCAACTAATGTAATACTAGATTCCGTTAATAATATAATTGACATTCTCGTTCAAACAAATGTTAGTTCAAACAAGCATGATCGTTCTTCGGAACACCGTGGTTATCAGATAGCGATTAAACCTCAATTTGTTATTCAAATATCTTACCCAAAATATAATAATATAACTGGCATTGCATTAGTGAGATCTGGACATTCAGATAAGTTTACCGACATGATTGTATATCCACTGTATAAAAATACAACCCTTGACCACGTATTCTCAATCGAAAATTTGGAAATAGCATCATGGTTACCAGAAAATATTTTAAACAATTTGAAATGTAATAGTAATATAACCAATTCAACAGATTTAGACAATTTTCATATAGTAATAAGTATATATCATAATGATGCTATGTTTCAGGAGCTTAATGCAAATAAGTCCACTGTCATCAGTCGTATTATAGAAATATCGGTACCCAACTTTATCTCAAACTTGGAATATTCTGTGCCCTTAATATTTAATCAAATAAACATTACAAATTTTTCAAGATTTTGTGGTTATTGGGATTTTGAAAGCCATAAAATTAATAGTATTCCGGGTCATTGGTCAAACCGAGGATGTTACTTGATTAAAACTGTCGGCAATTTGGGCGTTTGTGAATGTTATCATTTAACACATTTTGGTCAATTAATTAACATACAAGATGTTTATTCCAATGATAAAAATGAGGTTGATCATACAAAAGTTTTGAACATAATAACTCTAACTGGAAGTTTTCTTTCTTTGTTAGGTATTATTGGTATATGGATAACAGCGTTAGTATTCGACGTTTGGAGGAAAAAAGCGGGTACCAAAGTTCTTATTCAATTGTCCACTTCTATTGCACTACCTTTAATACTAATGTTAGTTTTCAATCTAAATCAAAAAATCTTTGTAGAAAGTGAAGGCAAGTTCATTTTAAATAACGATATGAAAATCGTTTGTATAACTTTAGGAGCATTGTTACATTATTCAATTCTAGCAAACTTTGTGTGGATGTTGATCACAGCAACTTTACAGTTTATTCGCTATGTCCGAGTCCTCGGAGTAAGTAGGCCATCCAGGTTTATGATTAAATTTATGATTATAGGATGGGGTACTCCAATTGTTCCAGTAGTTTCAATTTTATGGGTTAATCACGAGAACTACATACCTGATCCTTCAATAAACCGTCCTATATGTTATCCTAAGGAATTTTACTTTATAGCCTCGGTCATAATACCTATTAGTATTATTCTCGTTATTAATATAATTTTATTTCTTTTGGTTATAAAATCTATTTCTCAAAGTTCTGATATGAGAACAACAGATCGAAGTTTAGTATTTGCCCAATTAAGATTGTCAATATTTTTATTCTTTCTATTAGGACTCACGTGGATTTTTGGTATAATTTCTTTTACAGGGAATTTCTTATGGTCATATCTTTTTTGTCTAACTGCTACTGTGCAAGGTTTCGTATTATTTATTTATTTTGTCATTTGCGATCCGTCTACAAGAAACTTATGGGTCATGGTTTTCAAACCACCATTTTCTAGAACTTCATCAAGAAAAAGTATCATGAGTATAAATAGCGAATAAGATACACATTATATTATATCCATATATATGATTAATGTACTTAAAAGAAAAAAACTATTGTGAGGAAATATAATTAATTATTTAAAATATTAATTTCACTAAATGAAACATATTACTTAAGTAAAATTTTCAACCAACTCAAAATAAAGGAGGTTCTTAATTCGGTTGTATTTTTTTTTATATTTTTTACCTCCTAACTCCATCATTTGTAAGCTGATTTAGAATTTTATTATTTATCTAAAAGGATATTTAACTTACAGATAAGTTCGATAGAATTATTATCAAAATCTGTTCAGAAGTACAGTTTTTAAATCATAATAATTAGTTTCGTCTGACACAATCTTTAATTATAACAAATCTACATATACATATGTTAACTAGTAGAAAATGCCAAAAATCAGATATTAAGTCCGCCCTGCAGACATTTTCTAATGTGTGCAAAAGTATAAATAAATAAATAAATAAAATGTATAAAAGACGATACTGATTGACTGACACATATACCAACGCACAGCCGAAATCGCTGAATCTAGAATCTTGAAATGTTGCAAATTGTATTTTTATATTACATAGGAGAACAAAAGGAAAGGAATTTTAAAAATTTCAGAAGGTTAATTAAAAAATACCAAAATCCACACATACGAATTCACGGGCAAAAATTACTTTTAATAACTGTGCATCGCGAATGCTTACCAAACTTCAGCGCAAATACGTAACATAGTTTTGCAAGTGAGTTTGTAAACAAATTATTTGTAAATTGTTTGTTGTCCTATTATTTCCATTGCCACATGTAATGTGCAAGCTATACGTACTTACTCTCTATAATCTATAATAAAAGACACATAGATTTAAATACCTGTATCTGCGTTTTGGCTATTTCAAAAAGTAAAAAATAAAGTTCTAATATGAATGTCAATATTTTTGTTATTTGCATACTTACTGTATTTCCCTTGGGTAAGTACTTCATTAGTGTAAATTTTGTGTCGTCACTTGAAAATTGCTGCATTTTCTAGGGATTCTCGCTTAACCTCTATATAGAGTTAACCTGAGCATTTTGTATTCACATTTTTATTATTAATAATAATATTACACTTTTACATTTTTATTATGATAACACTATTACTTACTATGATATTACTATAATAATAAATACTCTAATTACAGTATATAGAGGAATTAAGAAGCAAAACTGTTAAAACAAATGTCTTAAATATCAAAATCGGCACAACAATATTACAAATTATACGTAGTACTCGTAAATATCCACTTGGGATAAATCGACTCGAGATACAAATTTATATATTACAAATTAAAATTACATATATTACAAAGATATATAAAATTTTTTTACTTCTAAAAACTATGAACATGAAAATGGTACTTTGTACTCTGAGCGTTATCTAATTACTTTATAAATTTTAATTAAATATTTTCCTTACAAGTAGACTATGCCTAAAATAAAGGTATTTACCCTTCTGCACTGCGAATTTTCACCGTGTAATTTTTTTGAACAATTTTCGATACATGCTCGTATATCTGAGAATATAAAGTTTAAAAAACATGCCCTAATTCTGTGACATTTAACTTACATTTATGATTTTAAACAACGTGTGGTCCCGGCATAGAATAGGCCATCCATTTTTTTCCCGTGAGTGTCGCAAGGGACGACTAAGTAAGGGCGAGCAACCCTCTTAAAACATCTCCAAAGCCTGACTGTATTTGCCAATCCGCCTGCCAAGCGTGGCAAAAAAGAACCCCCTAGGGGAAAGCTTATGTTCAGCAGTGGACAGTTAAAAGCTGATATGATGACAATGATGATATGTTTTTAAAACGATACTAAGTGCGCCATTTTTCAATGTTATAATTAATTCGATTAAAAAATCCCCAGATTACATGGATTTTTAAATTTTAATTATGAACTATTTTCTCTTATATAATAAAATTATGCATATAATACACACTTAGGGTACACATTTAATTAAATTTGTAGACATATTAATTAAAATAACACTTACTCTCCAACTCTAAAGACAAATACATCATAATTAATTCTCAAATATAAAATAATTGACAAAGATAAGCATTATTATTTATTTATTTGTTTATTTGTATATTTTATTAACCCTTTATTATTAACTTTCAATTTTTATCATTTCTCTCACATATTAAATAATAACTAAGCAGTCTATATTTATGTACAGATAGATAAAACAGTTGGAATGGCAAAACGTTTGTATTAATATACTCCTTCTAGAAATATATGATCTCTTTCCAATATTGACTGTTTTCATTTCATTTCACTATAATCACATTCGGAAAAAAATACGCCAAAAGAATTCATAGTACTTATAATACAGGTGGAAATAAATTAGAATAAAAAACTGGATTTAATGAGGATTGAACAGGTTTATTTTGTTTATATATCTTTGTTTTTGAAGTAATAATATGCAGTCCGTGGCGAGCAGTACCCGCAAACCAAGCAATGTACGCACAGAACAGTGCCAGAGTCGGACTAAAGACATTTGAAGATGAAAACTTGCCTAGAAGTAAGTACTTCATATTGATAAAGTCTACAAAATTATAGGTAGATAGTTAGAAAAGCTCTTAATTTTTTTTAAGTAAGGTACAAGTACATATGCCCATCTTGCTGATTATATACTTTTCTATATGTAAAAGACTTTTTACAATCGATTAAATATTTTATTACATAGTTATTTATCATAAACAAAAAGCAAATAGTTTTTTTTATAATACTAGATTAAATATACTTTTAAAGATATCTACCTGTTTTTCAGTTATTAGCATAAAATCATTTAATCGAGGCTAAATAATTTCTACTCTTATTACCTTCTACCATTTTATGCAGATAGTGAAATATACCTACGTAATTTTACAGCTTTCAAAATTTTTATCCATGGTACGATTTACATTGAATTTTAGAAATAAAAAATAAATATAGACTTTTAAGTTGCCATGTGGTCCTGGCATAGAATAGGCTACCCCTTCCTTTCCAGTGAGTGTCGTAAGAGGCGACTAACAGAGGGCGAGGGATGAGCAGTAATATCCCTCTTAAAACATATCCAAAACCTAATTGCGGTTACCAATCCGCCTGACAATTATGGCAATTACTGGCAAAATCCCCCAAGAGGGTATTATGATGATAGACTTTCAAACAAGTATACAAACAAAATGTATAGCATTTCTTGTGTTACTTTTAGTTACTTTCTAAAATGTTCATTAGACGAGTATAGCGTAAGTTACTGTTAAAACCTGAAAGTTGGTAGATACCTAATTTCTGAAAGAATAAATGTTGCTATCCGATGGATAAAACTGCTAGTAATTTTGATATATTTCCTTGATATGGCGCGCTAGAAAAGTGTGTGATCATCTACATGTGACGTACCTTTTATATTTATTTTAGTGTTATTTCTATTATTTATTAAAAAAAAATCTTTATAAAATATGCACAATACCATAAACACTAAACAAAGGTATACGTAAAAGGCAATATTTTTTACAGCTTACATTCATTCCATATATAAATTCGGTTGGTGTACACCAGACGCCATAGCACCACAATTTTTAAGAAAAACTGCTAACATAACATTTCCTACATGGCAATCAACACAAGTCAATTACATTTATGTAAGTAAACATTATGTACAAATCAGTTTGTGTTGTGCCTTCCTATTTTACCGTACGTAGAAAATGATCTGTGACTCTTTGATAGAACGGAACAAGGGTGCAATAACGTTACCGGATTGAGTACTTTTCTTGGCAATTTTGGCTAATAATTTGTCTCCTGGAGATGGAGAAAGTAAGCACGTAATCGAAGAATACAGTGGTAACTTGACACACTATAGTAAAAACGGACGAAAGTGGGGTACGATTGGGTAAAAATATAAGAAAAAGTATAATATTGGAGAAAGAAATAAAAAATAATATCCAGCAATGCTGAATGCTAGTGAGTTGACAACATACTATAATTTTAACAAATAGCTGTGTCAATAGTCACGCGAGACTCGTGCTTCGTGCTATTTTTCTGTGAAACAAATATTTTTTGCTTCATAAAAAAGAAACAGCAATACAAAACTAACACAACAAACCAGTTGTCGTTTAGGAAATATCAAGTTGTAAAATATTATAGATGTAATTTATTAGGTTTAATATATAGCAGAATTGTGTGTCTATAGGGAATTTAGTTCTTTAAATATGATTTTGCACCACAAAGAAAGACGGTAGCTTCTATCGTGACAAAATGAATATGAAGCCAACACAAATATAAAACAGTTTGTGTCAAATATAAAAATAATTATCAAAATCGGCTTAGAACTGGCATAAGAATAAATAGCTTATTGTTATGAAATTAACTAAGACATCATCTTACAATGACTGAATTGGAAATCAGCTCCTTTTAGTAGACACATCAAGTAATTATTGCGTTTTATTCAATCTTATTGCTTTATAAATTATGTATATGAATATGCATAGTATCTATATTATGATTATTATTTTTCTTATATTGAATTATTATTGAAAGACGGGCCTTTTTAGACAGAAAATCCTGTGACACTTTTTTTTTATACCACTGAGGTGGCAAAAAAACATACGGCCCACCTGATGGTAAGCGGTTACCGTAGCCTATGAACGCCTGCAATACCAAAGGTATTACGCGCGCGTTACCGACCCTGAAGAAACCTCTTTACCCCCCTTTTAAAGAATCCCATGTTGTAGTCTCTTAGGAAAACCTCGGCAGGGAGCTTATTTCATAACCTGAGTATTCGTGGGAGAAAACATCTCTGAAACCGCGTTGTACGCGACCATTTAGGCTGTAGGGTATGAGGGTGAACCCCCAGTCGATGGCGACTGCGACCTTTTCTTTTGTGCTCGCTTTTTATTGTATTGAAACAGAAAGAAATTAGTTGAATAATGTTTATGTATGATTTTTAATACATTCCAGCTGTTAGAAAATAAAAATACACAACGATTTCATTTGCAATGCATCATAATGAAATTTTTCGTGCCAAGGAAGTTCATGTTTAAACGTGGCCGTTTCCCTATGTACTACTGTCAAGGATATGCAATGGTGATGATTTTCAACAACGTTAATAAATTAGAGGTCCATGAATTTTACATACAATATGCACTGGATATGCCTACTAATATTGCATTTGAATTCTACCATCCAACACCATTATAATACAAGAAGAGGACAAGTCAATACACGACAAGATTATTGGTCCGATAAATTGCTACGAAACTTTCTATACAAAATAGAATATGATATTGCTACACAAGTACGACTTATCGTTCGAAAAATAAGTCATTTTTCGATCTATATGTATGGATTTTTAATGCTATCTATATTTAAAAAAATCTGTGTATTAAAATTAACTATATTATTTCTTTACTAATTGTTTTAATATAAAGCATTAAGATGCGATGTAAAAAATAACTGGATAGTATCCAATTATTTTATATAGTATCCATTGGATACTAAAAATATACGTAACTCACTTATGGTAAGTATTTATTGTTTACAAATAATTAGGTCTATCACTAACGATTTGTCAACAATCAGACATCGTATACAAAGATATCTGCATCATTCCACCTTCATTACTCAAATAACAAACATCCTTACCTTTTTGTATACAAAATTTACTCTTCAAAAGACAGTGCTTTCCTTTTTACATACAAAATGGACGTTCCTCTATTTCTTCTGATTTTTACTTTCCGTTTGTATTTTAAATTTTTCAATCATTAAAATTGAAAGTGTTAATATGTACATTTAGTTACAGATAATTTAAAACTTGAAAAACTTTACTTATTGTGTTTAAATACTTGTTATATATTGTATAAATAAATATTTTCCAATTAAAAATAATTTCACAACCTAACACTTTTATTTTTATGACTCCTTTCGTGTATTAAATATGACATAGATGTTAATAGATTACTAAATTATACATGCATGTTTTTTTCTTATAACATCCACCAACCTTTTTACATTATACTATTTTCATTTCATACTCCATCCACACCAACAGTTATTAACAGTTCTGTGACTGTTTTACGCGACTTTGCTATTTGCCATGACGATTTCACATTAAAACCACCTGATGGAATTTTGAAGGAGCATACTTTCACCTGGTTGGGTTTCGTTCAATACATCCATGGTTAGTATATTTAATAATAGACAAGTATTTTTTACCATTTGTGATGTATGTGGGTACACCTAGATTTTTATAATAATTATATTTGGCGGGTAACCGCTTTTGTCTACAAATAGAAGTGATCCGATCCAGGTGTGTTTTATTTCTCTCCATCATATTAATACCTTGAGACGGTAAATAACTATCAAATAGCAAATTGGCGACGAGGATGGGATTACTAAATAATATGTATTCATGACCATACATTTTAGTTACGACAGGGTTACCACATCACAGCAAAGCACCGCGTGTCGTCCTTATTCAGAAGCAATTTGTGATAGGAACAGCTACGGACTTGTTGCATTTGCCAAAAAATTATAAACTGTAAGTATTATGTTTCTTAGATCTTTTGATATTATGTACAAAAGTTACTGCATGGGTACCTCCGTTCCACTCTCGTTTCTGGCGTAAAGCAGCTGTTCTTGACTGTTTCGATTTAAAGAGTGGAAACACTATACATCATCAAATTCCTTTTAGACTCTTTAACATTAATCGTCGCTTTAGAAGACACGTAAAACCATCGTCTTGAAGAAAAAATTCAACATCAGCGAGAATCACCTCCATGTTTAAGTCTTTCTATTACTACTCTACTAACACACTATCGCTTTTCTATACTATATAAAGGCGCTTTTATACTACTTTTATTATTCAACAATGTTTAAATAAATAAAAATACCAAATAAAATAGGAAATTTACCCTGTCTCTACACGGCATTTTACCAATTACAGTGGTAGCGTTATATTTGGTGATTATGAACGTGACGAAAAAAATTGTGGCATTTCAAAACAGCAGACAAAAATTGGTATACAGTGCCCCCGAGCGTATATTGAAATGCCGTTACTGGACATCACTCCTCATCCAGAATTCTCCAGGTTTGCTACTAAATTCCTAGAATAGGAAACTGTAATTTCTAATTATTACTCGAAGACTATGTTCTAAAAATTTTCTTCCTATAATATATTATGTCGTCTAACTCAAAAAACACTACAATTAAAATTATTAAATGAATTTTTATTTTTAATAAAAATACTCAAATTCAAATTCTCCTATGCAACTGTTTCTATATTCTTCTAAAAGAATTATTTATTTATATTATTAGAATTTTTTATTATTACGACCTAGTCTACTTAATTCAAGTAACAAAAAGTACCTTATTTGATTTTATTTATTTGTTTATTTTCAGATTCGGCGTAGGAAATAGTTTAGCACTTGTTAAACTTATACGACCTATGAAATCCTGTATGTAAACAAATATATAATAAATAAATAATATATAAGCATTTCATTTAATTACCTATTACATTTTCAGATTACATGATACCAATTTGTTTACCTTCTATAACAGAAAGGCAAAGACAAAAGAAAAATAAAATTGTTTTCATGGTTGACTACATAAGCAGTAAGTACATAAGTACATACTTAATTTTGTACTGTTGATGAGGATTTGTTGGAGTTTGGAATTTATCTTTATAAATTCTAATTCATTTACATTTTCTGATAAACTTCTTGTTCACAATTCTTCTGTTAATTACTACAAATATTTTACCTTATAAAGATGATTTAAATTTGTATTTATCCAAACTTTATTCTATTTCTTATCTTTTACTTTTAAAATTCAATTTTGATACTGATATATAATCACGTGCAATCTAATGATTTTAAATAACAAGGATTTAAAATCACTCAGTGTATTGTGTAGTGTAGTGTGGCTTTCCAAATACAAGTATCTAGATCAATATTTATCATAAAAAAGAGCCATTTTCTTCCAAAATTTCATGAAAATTGCAAAAAGTTCTTTACAAGAACACGTTTATATAATTACTACCCTACAGTGTTACCGTCGTCTTTGCACACGAGGGGTTCGTACTCGTATTTCCCTTTTAAATTGAAATTTTTAAAAATCCTTGCTTGGTGGATGCTTAAGCTATTATTTTATAATTTATATTCTAAATTTTTATACTTAATATCTTTATGTTGATAGTCAGCTAAGGCAAACAATTTTATAAGTATAAAAACTAATTATTTAACAGTTTTAAATTGTTGTGTGTGCTGTAAAGTTCTATCAAACTTTACAGCCGTACCGAGAGATTTTGATTCGGAAAAAATGGGCAAGAAGACTTTGAAATTGTACACTCACAAGGACTGCAAAAGACATCGCATGAAAACAGTGAGTTATCCATTATTTTATTTTACTAACTTGGAGTTCATGTAATAAATAATAAACATTAAGCAAATATGTAGATATTCTTATGAAATAATTATAATTAGTTGAAACTCGGCCGAGGTTATTTAAAACAATAAGAAAGAAAGATTTATGCAGAGATAACTGGGCAGCATCCCACAGTGTTAGCGTCAAGAGTTTAAAGTTGGAAATTATAGTACTCTTTGTCCAACCGCCTTCGAATAGAGAATAATGTGTTTTCGAATGTATGTATGTATAGAAATATTTATAAGTGTTTATGTATGTAAATCGGGCCGGTTCTTTGGTACAACATACAGGCTAAATGGCTTATTGGATTGCGATAAAAAATGTGGGAGTGCTATTTATTTAATTTATATGTAGATTCTATTGTTATGTGGATAGTATACACGACAACAGTACATATAAATTAAATATGGCGGCCATAAACTGTATAAAAATTATTTTACATTCGGAATATTTGTGAGTTTATGACGCCCACTTGTTATTAGAATCAAATTAAATAACAAATTTTCTCTATAATATAAAAACCAAATAATTTACCCAACAAAACATGTTAAACGCCTTACTGTTTTAAAATGGATTATCATTCATGTAATAGTAACCCTGCTTGCGTTATCGGTCTACACCGGTGAAATATCAATAACGGGTAATAGGTGAGGATGAAAAGAGGTCAGTTAGCCATTCGTGATGAATCTATCAGAAATCAACTACGTTGATATCCAGGCGAACCGCGTGGAAGGCGATCTGACATATTGCTAATAATGTGATTGTCCCCATTACAAAAAATCTAGTTGCCTCATTTTTTGTAGCTTAAAATGTTACTATCAAATAGAATGAGACTATTATTATTATTCCTATTACTGATAAATATTAACAGAGAACTCTAAAAAAGGACGAGCAAAGAAGGTTATGGAAAGGTTGCAATGTTACAGGTTTTTCTGCCTGAAAAAACCCGTCTTTCAATAATAATAATAAATACCATTAAATAGAATGAGACTAATTAATTATGTGTATTTTTAATGGATTATAATGGAATGGTAACCCCGCCTATGATATCGGTATACACTAGCGAGGTACCAGTGATGGATGATAAATGAGAATAAAGCAGGTCAGTTGGCCCATCGTGACGAATTCAACAATAACCACGATAGTTTCCAGGGGGACCCGCGTGGAGGTCGACCTGACAGGGTATATTACTAGAAATGGGGTTGCTAATCCCTATTACTAACAATTCCTTTTCCCCCCAATTCTATGTATTGCAGAGGCTGGGCAGTGAAGGTGTAACGCACGTACTATGCAGCTCTGGTTGTGGCGTTCGCCCCGGGGCTCCCATCGTGAGCCAAACAGTCGACGGGGCCTTTGAACTGATTGGCATCGCCGCTGGTGGTGGTGTTTGTTCCCGTCGGTCTATGCGACGTCGCCTCAACAGAGAGCCTCCTTTATACATCGACGTATACCCATACTCCGCTTGGATCGTCAACGTTGTCACAGCTCACCAATTACCACAACCTTATCCCCATAACTTCATGTTGCTCGAAGGAGGTTCTAGTGAGTTTTTTTTTTTATTTATTATTATGTGATTTTGCATGCCAAATGATCTGGTGACTTGATTGTGGGAAAGTGATGTCCATTATTTTCTATATATGGACATGGACATCATTGTATGCTTATGATCGCCCCGTATGTTATTTTTAAAAACAAATGTCAACCTACAAGATGAAAAGTAAACGAAAATTTTGTCCAATAAACTTCTTCCAATTCATAGATAAAAAAATCGATAAAAAAAGATCATACTCAAATAAATGTAGTAGCACTTACTAGAGATACATTAGAATTTACTAGTACTATGTATCATAACTTTTTTAGTTATACTTTTTGTCTATTTAATTTGAAATTGAAATTATCTATCTAAATACTTTAATGAACAAGTCTACCGTACCTTAAAAACTATGGTATTTTCTACTACTTATTTTGTGCAAAATTTTACCCACAACTTCGGCCACGTGACTAGGTAATGTTGATTAAACGAGATAAAACATGTATACCAATTTTCATAGGGAACTGTTAACGTGACGAATAAATTCACTTTCACTCTATTAAAGATTAATTATTACATAAAATTATGCAAACTAATACTAAAAGTATATATAGTTATTGAACCTATTAAAAACGAGGCAAACACACAATTCTTGATGTTTATGTTAGTGATATGTGTCCTAGGATATGACAAAAATACTTCAATATCTGATTGTTTGATATTACAAAATCTCTTTGAAAATATTTTAACACGCCTGATGTTCAATGATAGGCACAATGTTTCATTTACAATCCTCAAAAACACATTACTGCCACAATAGGTGCGCAATATGTTTAATTTCATTTGTTGGTAATTTCACAATTTAAAAAGGACAATGGTCTATTATTTTGATGAAAAAAAACCACAATACGCCATAAAGAACAGAATAAAGCAACAACTTTGTTGTTATTGTAATTATAAATGCTTGCATTCTTGCCTTTATGTGATATGCAAGTAGAGATGGGCAATCCACCTGGGTGGGTTTAAAGTCTGGTGGGTAAAAACCGGGTGTTTTGGGTTTATTGGGTTTAAACCCCATAAACACCCAAATTTTTGGGTGTTTATGATTTTGTACTTCATCATCGTCATCTCATGTCCACTATACTGACATAGACAATATTATTTGCAGCCTACAGAATAAAAAACTTTTAATTTGATTTTGAGTTTATTAAGAAAGAGATTAAAGTAAAATGTAAAACTACAGTAAATCACTGTCAGATTCAGAGTTATTACAAGCGATGAATTGTATAGGTTCGATAGGCTCTATTTCGTCTAAACTGTTATGTTCATTTACTTGCTCAATGAAAGCTTCTAAGGTATTTTCTTCATTAAACTGAATGTCCTCGCATTCAGCTTTATGTTTAAGATTCCAGTTATAACAAATGAATGAAATTTTTTCAGTTCTTTCAGTTGTAAGTCGATTTCTTTTGTTATTATGTATGTAGCCTTGGATACTAAAGGAACGCTCAGTGGCTGCCGAAGTACAGGGAGCTGATAGAATACGAATCGCTACTTTGCTTAACTCAGTGGAACCACAAATACCTTTCCACCATATTAGGGGCTCAATGCTATCTAATGAGCTCCATACAAATCCTCTGGCCCAAAAGTTTTCTTTAGCTTTATAACACGCCAAATCTGCCATTACATTTGACAAACTTAAGTGTTGGCTTAAATTGTAGATAAACTCCATACCCTTAAGTTCTTCCTCTTGAGTAAGTTCGACTCCTAGAGTCCTGGGGTCTAGAATATATGCTGCAAAATGTATTGGCCTCATTGCCATATTGCATCTTGAAGATACTGATGTTAGAATCTGCTGTTTGCTTTCTTCGCTCAATGTCGAAATCTCATTTAATGCAAAACGTATCTTAGCTTGTACATCTCTAAATGTAATGTATGTGCGATGCAAACGATTCTGGTCGCTCTCTAAGTAAAATATGCTTTCAGTGACTGGTTCCAAAATACTTATACATTCCCCTGTCTTCGTCCAGAAATCATCACTTAGAATTAAATCTTTAATATCTCTTGAAATTACCACATCTTCTCTAACTGTTAATATTTGCAAAGCTATCTTATTTGCTTTCAAACTTTTTAACGAAGTAACATGACTTCCCCATCTTGTAGCACAAGGCAATTTTAGTGTTTGTGTAGAATCTTCACCCTGCCTTGATTTTATCAACAAGGAACTTAATCGTTGACTCCTTTTAACAGTTTTTATTATATTTATGGCTTGCATAATAAACACAGTTACTTCTTGTACAAATATCTTTTAAGGATATGTGCACAGCAACCGAGAGGAACAACATGTGGATATTTGAGTTTTGTTAATTCGAATGCCTTTTGTATATTTCTAGCGTTATCGCCAATAAGTACAAGAAACTTATTTGCTCCATACACTTTCATTACTTTTTCAACTTCTTGGCTAAGGTATTCACTAGTGTGAGGATTACTTTCTGTATTCAAACTTTTAACGTATGCAGGTTGAGGTTTTGATATAAGAAAGTTTATTATTCCTTCATTTCTTAAATTAGACCAGCCATCGCACTGAAGGTGTAAGTAACTACAAGCATTTAGTTCCTCATTTAACTCAAAACGCATTTCTCTATATATTTTATCTAAGTATTTTGTCGCTAAAGCTTTACGTGAAGGTATTTTAAATTTTGGTTGCAATTTTTCGAAAAATTGTATCCATAAAGGATGTTGCACCATCGATAATGGCGTCCCTGTTACAAATATAGCTGCTAATTCTGTTTTTATATGATCATCGGTGTCTTGAAACTCAGCATTTATTGTAGTGTTAGCAGACGACGAGGGGCTTATAAAAGAATCATTTGTCTCTATCTCTGACAGTCCAGACATTTTGGTTTTGGACGAGCTATCTTTTATAAGTTTCATAGAGTCTTTTAATGTTTCTGGAGATTTTGGACAAGTGATAAGATGTTGAAGCATTTTGGCAGCATTACTGAATTTGTAGACCTTATTACAAAGCTTGCAAGAAAAAGACTTGTTTGGTAAAGTACGGTAGTGCTCCCATATGCGTAAATCTTTAGGTCTCCCCATTGAACCTAAAAAAATGAACGATGATTAGTTGGTCTGACGAAAATTCAACAATAGAGTGCCTATTTTTTTACAATGATTATTTCTTGTTATTTACAATAAATTTATTAAAAAAATAATAAAATAAATACAAAAAACCTTTGTAAAATTACATCTCCTCGGAGGATTAAACGCAGACGATAGTTTATTATCGTATTGTTCTGTATTTTTCTCAGCAACTTCTTTAATTCGATTAGGTACTTACGCATATTATGTTAAAAATAAATATCTAGTACACATCTTAGGCTATCCACCATTATTATCCAATGACGACTCTCAGCTAACTATGCACTATCATCCAAAATAAACGTGTATGGAAAATTTTATCCCAGTCGGTTGAGGATTGAGGATAATTGCATCAACATACGAACATACCTACATACTTTTATTTACATAACGCAAGCTAAATAAAAGCTTGTAATAATACATCTAATTTTAAGTTAAAATTGTTAAGTGATCATGATATAATTGTATCATTCAAAAATCCACTTACCTTTAATTATTTCTTGTTAAGTATAAATATTATTTCAAATCTTTTAATATGCACTTTTTACTGCTTTTCCTACCTAACACGTTACCAGGAAGTCACGTTACCAGAGTCAGAGTAATAGTGAACACGTTTGACAGTGATTGTCGTCGCCTCATATTCAGCGTCGACGAATAAATCCCCAGTCATAATGTATTGCATGCGTGGCGGTCTTACTTCAAATCCATAAACAAAGAGAGAATTACAGAACTCGATAATAGATGGCGCTGTTTTTGTTTGAAGAAAGTTTGAAAATACATAGAATTTCATCAATGACTTCCACAAAGAACAACATTTCTGTTTTTTCTAAGTCCGTATCTCTTCCGTATATTTCATAAGATATAAGCTTGGGCTACATTGTTATGCAACGTGATTTTGTCGCTGTCTTGCTAGCAGGGTTGACAGATATACGATTTAAATCGTACTCATACTATTATTTGTCTATTTTTTAATGTACGATCGTAAAGATTATGATCGTAATTCGCACAAAAACATACGACTTTTTGGTTACCTGGCAACATTTTTATTATGAAACGAACATGCTCACATCATCAGTCACATGCAACAATTTATTGGGGATTTCCCCTTCACATCTGGCAGTCCTGCTTGCTAGAATATAGGTAAGTCAGCCACAGTTACTGACGATCGATATTTAAAGGGTATTGTTTTTGTGCTAAATATTTCATAAAAACGTTATTTAATACTTTGTGGATTATTAATTTAGTTGATAATCACTGGAAGTAAAATGGATGCTAATTTGAGAGATCAAGATCTTCGTATAAAACAGTTAATAAAAGAAAATCTACGTAAGTACTCTTTTTATACCTAGGTAGGTAAGGTATAATAAACACAAAAGGTACTTAGATCGCGTGTGTTCGAAGCATTTATTCTAATAAATTTAATTTAAAATTGTAGAAAGAAAAAAATGTCTGCCAAGCCGTAGCCGAAGCCGATCTCCAAATATATTTGGCGATAGTGAGACCCAGTGTCCAGATGATTTACCCAGCGTCGTCGCAACAAAGAAAAAAACGAGGATAAAGTAAAAGAAAATTTACTGAAAGAAGAAACAAACTGTTCTAAATGCTTAATTTATGGAGAAGAGGATAAAAGAAATGAGTATTTCGGACTGTTAGTGGCTCAAGAATTTAAATATATACGGCCATGTGTGCGAACGAGGTGTTATGAAGAAATTTTAAAGTATCTACGGGAAGAAAAAGGCCAACATGTTGATCAACTGCAACATGAAAACACTGAAAATTAATTACTTTCATTTTATTATATATAGATTTTTAAAATTTCCTGAAATATTATTAGTTAACGTTTTATTTAATATTGTAGAATTGATCAATACAATTTATAATAATTTATTGGTATTACTTACATATTTTCAAAAAAATACGTAAAAACCTATTTTTTTGGGTGATTATGGGAGTTTATGGGTGTTTATTGGGTTTTTACCAAAGCACCGGGTTTAAACCCGGTGCTTTGCCCATCTGTATATGCAAGTCGTTCATACATCTTATGATTTCTTTTGTTATGTTTGATTTTTTTTTGGTATTGGTATTGATCTAAATTCAAAACGTGACTCATCTTTTTATATCCATTTCATCATCATCATATCAGTCATTAACTGTCCATTGCTGAACATGGGCCATCTCCATAAGTGGGGTTTTCCCCGTAGTTACCATGCTACCATAATTTGTTCGCCGTGAATTCACTGGCGAATTCAACTATGGCTTAATTTCAAGGAATTCCTTAACAATCAGTTGTGTAATAATAATCTGTATGTATAATTATAATTTCAGGTGTAAGCATCCAAAAAGGATCAAATTACTTAAGGAGAAGAAGAGCGCAGAAGTCAGGATGGCGTGCTCGTACTTTCGTAACAGGTAATCATTGCTTCAAGAGTCAGAAGAAACAACGTTCCGCTTCCTTTTTCTATTCAGAGAATTTTGAAGTAAATGCCGATCCGCCTGCTAAGCTAAATGTAGTTATTAAGGTAATTAATTAATTCATATACTACTCACCTCACTTATGTATAAATAAGGTGCACCAATCTTTTCTTTATTAATTTTTTTTTGTTTCATCAATCTACAAAACACGTCTGTGACCATTATTATTGCGTAGATTCGTCTGCATGAATTAAAATAACAAGATACTTTTGTTCTCTCAAGATATAGTAAAATTTCATTCAAATCCATTTAGCCAATTAAACGTTACTCAATAAAATCTTTACAATCTGCTGTCTACTCTAACAATGTATTTCCCTATTATTCATTATGCGTATTTTTGGAAAGAAATTTATAATATTTATTATATTTATGATACTAAAAAAATTATTGAATATTTTTTTACAGATTTCAGCTGGGATCGAGTGTACCATCGTATGCGCTCGGTTGTTGATGCCAAATCGAATGGCAACACCTGTGATAGATGGCGTCGGAGGCTATAATATTACTATTGTATTCTATACAGAATGGTTTCCTTATAAGTTTTACTTTTCTGTGGGTCTCAGCGGCAAAAACACAACAGAGAGAGACAAAATGGATTGGATTCCAGAACGTAAAGAAGGATTCTGGTGATGTTTGTATATAAAAATTACTTGTTTCGCCCGTTCCTGTATAAATAAACTAAATGAAAAAGTAAAATTTAATATCAATTTCATTAAGTATATCATATTTGATGATTGAAATACGTCGTATTATTTCGTATATGAAATACTTTTATCTTTTACATATATGTGGTATGTAGATATGTAAATGTGCTTCAAAGAAAATATTCGAAGCATGTTTTTACTAATACCAATTTATACGTAATCTTTTAACAGTTTATACATGTACTAGCATTTACCCACGACTTCGACCGCGTAACCAAGATGTTTATTAATCGGAAAAAAGTAGCCTATATTCTTCTTCATCCCATAGAGTACATGTACCTATACCAAGTTTCATAGTGATTGGTTAAGCCGTTAAGGCGCTTTAAGATAACAAACAAACTCACTTTTACATTTATAATATTAGGATGAAAAAAGAAATCGTGAAAAACAAAAACGTGGAATATCTATGCAAATAATAACGTTATGAATTTGTACAAAACCTTTATTGCATGCAATACGGTCTGCGAAATTATCTTCAGGAACATTTAAGAGTACTAATATAAAATTAATCTAATTTTATTTACAATTATCACGCAGACTCTACTGATATTGTGTCTTCATCATTCAAACCCTGGTCGTTATTATCCGCTGATGGAAAACTCGATGGCGGTGATTGAGAAGGTGGCTGCGAGAAAATAGGATTTACGGGGGCCGTTGGAGGTGTTCCCTGGGGGATCTGAGGTGCCTGTGGACCAGATCCTTGTTGGAAATTTTGCTGTGAACTGTTGTTTGTATCATCGGAAACCTGAGGTGGCTGTGGGGATGAACCAGAATCTCCATTTCCTAGAGGAACTCCAGGGAATGTTTGCGTTCCACCAGGTACCTGTGGTATTTGAGGGAAACCGGGGAACGTGCTCGCAGGTGGTAGCTGAGGTTCTGCAGGTTTGTTTTCTGCTGCTGGTTGTGTTTCTGTTTGTTGTCTGTCTGGGGGGAATTCTGCTGAATCAACCACTGTCGTATCAGAATCCACATCTTGTTGTCCTGTAGGGAAATCTGCTACAGGCTGGCCTGGTACGGTGGGTGGTGCAATAGGCGATATTGGAATGGGTCCTGATGGAGGGTATAAGATACTGCCTGGAGGATAAAACGGACCACCAGCAGGAAATATTGGAGCACCGCTAGGGAAGTATGATCCTCCTCCTGGGAAAAATGGACTGCCACCCGAAAATATTGGTGCGCTCTGTGGATATAAGCCAGCACCTCCTAAAGGATAGTAAGTCGGTTGGAATGGATTAAAAGGACTCACTTGTGGTTGGAAAGCAAATTGCGATTCTAATCCTGGATAGCCAGAAATGGGTATCTGCAAATGAAAATAAAAACGTTATGTAGATTGATTGTACTTGTGATAAATATGACTAAATTCATATAATGAATTATCAGAGAGAGACTGTACAAAAATCGTTTGCTTGGTTACCTCTGTCCTATTCGTATTTCTACCGTGAAACAGTTGTGTTTGCATGGCTGTGATTTCGATTTGAAGGGTAGTGAATTTACAGGATACAGAGGAATAACGCCTTCGTTCTCAGGAATGGCAACGTACGAGGGATATCATGGGCGAAACAGTATACTCTGTTATATCCAGGGCACTGCTCATATTTATAGTTGTCGATTACCACTTTCCGTCAGGTGGGCCGTCAGCTTGTTTGCTGTTCTAAGTTATATAAAAAAAATAAACTAATATTCTATCTAACTGATAATTCTATTTAAATATGCGTAGCAATAATACTTATAAAGGTTGTATATTTTATTAGAATGGTGTTATTAATGAGACAAGTTCTTTTTTTATAAACTTGAAATAATAAATATTTACAACGCTGACTCAAGAATGTAAAACTCAATATTGTAGTTTATTTCAATGGAACTTAATAAAAATGTAAACAAATGAAAAATTTACCCCACTTTAAGAGAGTCGGTTGATGCTCAGTAATAGTACAAAGCAAAAATCGATGTATTACATATTTCTATTACTAATATTTCAAGATCGTCAAAATAAATAAAAATAAGGATAACTTACAGCATTAATGAACTGCCTTGTTGAGAAAGCGGAGATCTTTGTTTTAGCTGGAATTGACGTTACTATCTGTGTTCCCGGTATGACCCTTGTGACACTTTGCCGCGACGTCGCTTGGTTCCCGGCATCCGACCAGGACGGGCCTCCAGCCGCTTTGCCGGCCACGGCACAGAATAACCACACCAACAATACCTATGTACCGAATAAAATAAATGACAAATTTTAATAAATTTACATATTACAATAAAATTTAAACATCTCTACGTGAACCTTCAATTTCTAAAATAGCTTTCCACTTTTATGTATAATAAAATATATGTATGTCCTTGTCAGGATGACCTCACCCTCTCTCTGTTTTAAAATATAAGCGTTCTAAAAAAGAATGCACATCGCTCAATACATACATAAACATTTGCGCGTATACAAAGTTATGAGTTTGTATAATAATAACTACTAGACATTTTTAAAATAGGTTTACAATTTACCTATATTTTGTAAATTTAATTCAATATCTTATGACAAGATTGATGAATGTGGAAGAAGCAAAGAGGTTTGTTTGAATCCATTTGACGTTCCATTGTTTCTGCCTAAATGGGAGACTGATATTGATGATTTTAATGATATTATTATTTTAGTTTTCCAAGAAAAAAATCTAATTGATGACACTCCGATCATTAGAAATAAATATTGACAAACTAATAAATTTTGTACTATTTTTATTTGCCTGCCTGATGATTATCTTTTTCGTATTCTTATATTGAATGAGTATATTGTTACTACGTAACGTAATATGTATAGTACTCATACAATACCTTCAGTTACAACTCATCGCGTTAATAAAAATTATTAATCTAGCCATTTTAGTAATCATCATTCGATCGGCTTAGATCTGAAATTGACACTAGATACAAAAAATAATTGCCGCTTTCTTAAAATAATTTTATTTTGATCTTTCGAATTTTGTAGCGTTTTTTATCAACATCTTAAATTAAATTTACACACCCTTTATAATGGTCATACTATCATAAGTATCTATTACGTACTAACTTATTAAATAATAAATAGATTACTGAAACCTAGGACATCAGTTTCAATTTAAATATCAAGTGCTATACGAGATTTATATAGAAATTTATTTATTAAATTAAAATTTTAATATATAAATGACATTTTATAATTATTGAATGTTGTTCTCCATATATATACGTAATATTTTACTCCAAAAAAATTACAACGACTTCGTTATTTTAACATGAGACTAACACACGAGAGAACTATCGATAACATGAAATATTATCAATATATATAAAAAAAATATTATTAACGCACGACCGAAACCGCTGAATGTAGAATCTTGAGAAGCTTCTTTATATAGCATAAATGAATTATAAGAAAGAAACTTTGAAAATTCAACCTTAGGGGTTTTTTTTAAAATTATTTTAAGGGCTTTTACCTTCTTCAGGTATATCAGTCCTATTGTACCCTGAACTGATTTCTCGGTTGAATTGAATAAGGGTTGAAGCAAAACTTCCAAAATCCATTCATGCCAAGTCGCGGACAAAAGCTGGTAGATTAGTTTATTGGCAAATATATCACATAACATATACACACAAAAAATATTGATGAATATAAAAGCCCCTAATTTTTGTCACTTAATTAAAACATGGCGGCAGAATATAAATCTTCATCATTATAATAATTTACATATTTTTAGAAAGAATCTGCAACTTTCAAATATAATAGTTTTCATATTTAAACTCTTAAAAACGAATAGATGTTTGTATTTTAACTACTAATAGTATAAATTATACACAATGGCCAGATCTTTTGATTCGATTCAAAGACGAGTTATCACAGGACCCAGATTCAGAAACGGTATGGATCCTTTGAGATTGAATAAAGATTTTATTTGGGGAAAGTTCTGATGCACCTTATATCGCTTGTACGAACTATGTTCCCAATTATTTAAGGCATATACCTACAGCCATACTCTACCATTTTATCATCCATCTCCACATTGTGGAACACAGCACTGTTTCAGGGGAATTTCCTTTTATAAACACTAGACTCTCGACCAATATTTTACGAAGACACTAGAGCGGTGTTTCCCAACGTGGGGCCCACGCCCTACAGGAGGGCAATTTGATAGTTAAGGGGGGGGGGGCACTAAAAAATGGACTCAAAGCGATTTTAACCCTCTTTCTCTGGGCCATTTAAATGCAATGCTACGAGTAGATATCGATGCCAAATGTAACAAAAAAAGTAAATTAAAAAAATTGCTGTTAATATTTATTAGGTATAAATTCGTTTGACGTTACTAAAAATATCAACTGGGCGGTTAGAGTCATCAAGTAAACTTTGTCGGAAAAAATATATATGGGTGCATAAAATTTTTAGAAATGTTCCAGTGGGGCATGGCACAAAAAAAGTTGGGAAACACTGCACTAGAGCATAAAATTCTTTAAACAGGTTCTTTAATATACAGAGTAGTGTAAGCGATGCCTGCAGTATCACAAGCGTCCATAAGTCACAATAACCGCTTTCCATCAGGCGTACCGTAAGCATGATTGCCAACATCATTGTATGATTGAAATAAAAATAAACACACAGCCTTAGAGACTTCGCAAATTATAACAAGCCAATTGCAGTCCATTATTGGACACTTCCAAATCACATAAATATAAAGCACGTGGTTAAACACAAAACCGTATTAATTGAATTCCGTAAACACATACACAAATAAAAAAAAAAAAAACAATAACTATAAAAAAAGTCACTGATGTCGATTATCATTATTATAATTAATTTACATAATCATGGCTAGTATATTGTCGTACCTTCATTTCGGCACTGGGGACCCGATATCACTATAATACGCGCGGAGCTCATCTGACGCGACTCTTATATACTAAAATGTACCCCGCCTACGACCACAGAAAGAAAGTAACTAGATATGGCCCGATCGAATTTGTATGCAATCTTACAATGTTCTTGTAAATTATTACACAATATTTAACACAAATATTTGGTTACTAGTACTACAAGTGTAATAGAAGATTTTGTTTCTTTAATAAAATTAAATAAAGTTTAATCTTCAATTAGAAGAAGGCACGACACAGGTATCATGATGATAAAAATATATTCATGGTACAAAAGTTACCACCTTCCATCAGGTAGACTATCAGCTTGCCATTACAATTTGCACATAAAAAAATTATAGTTAGATCCCCACTAATCCTTAATTTCGGTAACATTATAAATATTAAAGCTTCTTTGTCTACCTTATAGCGCCTTAATGGCTTAACCAAACACTATGAAATTTGGTACACATGTACTATATGGAATGAAGAAGGACATAAATTACATTAGATATTTTTTATCCGAATTAATATACATATCCTAATAACGCACACGAAATAACGGCTAAAAATAGCAATATATTATATAATATTTTTACAATTTCACATTACGTCGTATATTTTATTTAAAACGCAATCTATAAGTTGTTTAAAAAAATCTCAGGTAAAAAAAAATTAATTGAACCGATCTAGTTTATCTTTATGAAGATTCCACATTACAAGTTTATAGGTAGACACGATTATAAATTTCAAGATCATTTAAAATGGTGCACACATATTAAGTCTCGACTCGAACCAATTATTATTTTAGTACAGATAATTTTTATTATCCGATAATTATAAATCTCAACCATTTACGAACATTACATTACAAGCGTGTTTCGCTCCTATAATGAAATTGATCTAAGATATTTTTGTAGCAATCCTATTACCATATATTATTAACTAGATCATATACTTATAGATGGAGCAGCGAGTGTCAAAATACGTCCCAAATAATGGTCTTATTTTTTTTAACTATGCAAAGTGCACTTTTTTTTAGTATTTCAAGTAATAAGTGTAATTTATTCCCTATACATGCAAATCCCTAAATCCACCTGCCAAGCATGGCAACTACTGGCAAAACCCCCCAAGGGGGAGGCTTATGTTCAGCAGTGGACAGTTGAGGGCTGGTATAATGATAATGATACATGCAAATTGCGAAGTCTACCCGTCTACCAGTCTATGATACAAATTCACTCACACAAGAATAAAAAAGTTAAATTGTGTTTAACTAAGTGTTTGTAAAGAGACTCTATCTAGAAATTATTATAGATTAATAATATCTAGATAGAGTATATTATAATAATTAAAAATTTTCGATGTAGAATTAATTAAAAAAAATATAAATATAATAATTTATTGCAGTTATAGGTATAAATTATTAATGAGTTATAAATTCGAGGTACAGTAATGTTTTACCGTCGACTCTTTTATGACACTATGATAATTATAACGAAATTAATTATAATAATGAAAAAGTAACTTTATTTAGATACATAAATATTATCATTAAATTTTATACTTATAATAACAAAGTAAAGCCACTATTAAATACTAATTATTCCGTATATGCCTCATAAAATATACGTTAAAAATTATCAATCTATTTAATAATGTTACAACTTCTAAGTATGGGCCCATAACAATTAAATACATCATATGTCTAGTTTGTACCGCCGCTTATAGGTATGGATATTATCATATAATCATTATCATCATCATGTTAGCCGTTCACTGCCCACTCCTGAAAATAGGCCTCCTGCATAGACTGTCATAAGAAATACCATCTACAGCCATTAACTACCTGCAATGCATTTGAGGCCGTCGCTTTATCTAGTTGGGGGTCGTTCTAGACTGCGTTTTCCTGTACGGGGTCTCCACTCAAGAACTTTTCTTCCTAATTGTCGGTTCTTCGAACTATGTGACCAGCCCATTACTACTTCAGCTTACTTATCCTCCGGGCAATGTCGGTCACTTTGGTTCCTCTGCGGTTATCCTCATTTTGGATTCTATCACGCAAAAAACTCTGAACGTAGCCCTCTCCATAGCTCACTGAACAACTTGAAGCTTTAGCATACGACCAACCGTGTAGGACCGTGCTTCGATTTCGTAGGGCATCACTGGCAACACACACTGGTTAAAGAACTCCGCCTTTACACTTTGAGGTATTTTTACTATGTGAGTGTGTATATTATGGAGGTATTCTGAGGTATGCATAAATATATTATTATATATTTATTATTATTTCTCATCACAAACAATTTAGGACTTAATATCTATAACTTGCAAAACATTTTAACAATATTATTTGTGGGAGCTGGTGCCTGTACTAGGTATTAAACCTGTATTACAAGTCACCAGGACCCTTACCTCGAACAGTACAAATTATACAAATGAAAACTTTCACAAAAAAGGTGATGGTGAGTACATAAAAAATTCAGATACAGCGCGTATACAAAATAAATAGCTTTCGATGTGTATAACATTAAAACAAAAACAAATTATATGCTAGGATACACTTCTATCCAGGATACACTTTTTTAAGTCACTTAAAAAATAGAATTTCTTAATTCTCCTGTATTTCTTATTTTGTATCTATGTAACGCGGTATCTTTACAAATTCTGTTGATATTTTACGCATTTCATAGGCCTTACTCCCATATTTATCTCGTATAAATTGTGTCCAATGTTTTTTTCTTATGTTAAAAAAATTGTTAAGTGATACGTTGTCATTATAGTACTTATAGTACATAGTCAAAATCCAAATTATTAGACCATTTATCGACAATCATTATCTTTCTGCCCTTATTCCAATTATTTAGTGTCGGCGTCATATAATTTTATTCTTATTACACGAGGTTTTCGTTTTAATATCGGACCCATTTCTATCATCAACCCTCTTTGGGAACCTTCCAGCAACAATATTAATCTAAATAAAGTCTCAGAAATTAAAATAAAATTCATACTAAATGGCGTTTAATTATATATTTACACAATTTAAGATTTTATTTGGCAAAAAAATAATTACGCCTAAAATTAACCGCGACCCAGACCGGTGTTAAGTATATGGATTGCAGAAAAAAATATCAAATTCGATTCATGATTTACGAACATATTACACAACATATAAAACAAATACAAATTTTTGAAGTCGCTTAAATAGAGCCTAAAAGTTTCATGATTTCACATATTTTATTATATTTTTTTTTATACAACTTAGAATGGCAAACAAGCTAACGGCCCACCTGATGGAAAGTGGTAACCGTCGCCTATATACATGAGCAGTAGCATGGACATAACAGAGTATACTGTTTCGCCCATGATACCCCCCATGCGTTGCCATTCCTGAGGACTCAGGTGTTATTCCTCTGTACCTTGTAAACTCATGCCATATCCCATCCTTCAAATCCAAACACAGCCATGTAAACACAACTGCTTCACGGTAGAAACACGAATGGGACAGAGGTACCCAAGCAATCGACTTTTGTACAGTCTCCCTCTGGTGATATATTATATTGATTAAAGTTAGAAATTGACTCTCTTAAATAACGATATAAATATAGGTATAAGTAAAAAAATCCATTAATATATTATAATTAAATCTTTTTGGCCTTCTTTTGGCGTACTTCGCCGACGTCTGGAAAGAAAAATTCCATGATTTTATCCTTGAAAAGATAAACGATTGGTTTAGGAACTTCCTCATGAAATGGATGTGATCCACCAACATGGATGGGAGCCCATGAATTTTTTAATAATTGTAAAAACAAATGCATCAATTTTACTTGAGGCATCTTCGAAGCATCCGTAAATTTACCTGAAATACAACAAGTAACGCTGCTTATTATCGATTTGAAGGTCTAAACTACAGAAAAAGGTAAAAATAAATTTAAGAAATCTAGACTACCTGGATCTTATATACGTTTAAAATAATTAAATCTAAATCAAATATTTTATTATTAAAACTAAATTTTATGTAAAATAAAAATTAAAAAAATATTTATGTTATTTATTTTATTAGTGTCATAATTTCAGCATTTTAATATCTACAACTAAGCATTATATAAATTCCCTCACTAGACTGGAATAAAAGAAATTCCAAGTCATCTGCATCCATAAACTTTATGCAATATATTTCATAACAGAGAGAGTTTTCATATATCTGCTTGGGGATTTCTGTTCCATTCGTTTTTGTGCTGAACACATCGTTTCGTTTTAACGTGCAGGATAAGGACGTGAAATTATTCAACTATTTAACTAACTTAACTGAACAAATAATTTTACAAAACAAAATTATTTTTACCGCTTCCACTCTGCCTTTTTACTCGTATTGTTGCATTATCAGTGAAATTCAGTCTATCATTATGTATAAGTTGCCACATATTAACAACAAAGTTCCTTATATAGCTGCTATTAGTATTTATTATCTAAACAAAAAAAAAGAACACGATGAGACAGCATTAATTACCTTAAAAAATTAATGTCGTCGACGCTTTGTAAGAATTCCAAATATTTGCGACGGAAAATAAAAGCAAAACAACTTTAAATATCAAGAGCACGATACATTTATGGCAAACAGTGAGAAATAACAACCTAAAAACTACAAACATTTAAAAATAAAACCGAAATAAAAAACTACGACTATCTATAGAAAAAGTAATCTAAACATATTGTTATCAAGTAAGATAAGATTAAAATCAGTATAAAATTATATTTTATTGTTTTTATATTTATCGTTAAAATCATTTTCAAATAGGTGTACAATATATTCATATTTTGTTTATTTTCTTTATTTTATATATTTTATTTTAGAAAGGTATACGGTTATAAGGTTATATAAATTACGAAATAATCTTAGTAAAAACCAAGAATTTAGGGGCGCTAGATGTATACATATACATTAAGCTCGAAATCCTTGACGACGGACTTGCATTTTTATGAAATTAATATGAATGTTGTACTCAAGGTTTTTGCTTAAGAACATAATATATACTTAAAAAATACTAGCGAAAAAATGTAATGTTCTAATCAATTTATATTCTAACCTATATAAATTTAATAATTCAATATTAAAACTCAATAGTTTCATCAAGCATTTTAAACAAACAAAAGTACAGCACCGTCTAGCGTTAATATAGTTTATCAACGATACATAACCTCTAATCGAACTTAAAACCTCAAAAAGACCTACAATAAAAAAAAAACAAACAGACCTCTAACTTGTTTTTATCCACGTCACTAGTAAAAACCCACCGTGCATTATATATAAAACATAACAAAAAAAAACTATTGGTTGATACATAATACATAATATTCAACTTTAATATAATATGAACAGTAGAAAAAGAATATTGTAATAAAAATGTTCTAAAGAAAGAATAATATTTATATCGCTAGAAATTTATAAACATATCATTGTTTGCGCAAATAATTCTCTATCTAGTATATGTTTTGTTTAGAACATTTTCCAAACATCTATTGTAATTTATGATATTCTATAGCAACAATTTACATTTTTTATTGATTCAAGATAAAGCATGAATAAATGAATGAACTTCTCATCGACAATCGGCAAAACTAGCAACTGCTAATTTCTTCGTTATTTGCTATATATATAAAACGTATATATATATATATATATATATATATATATATATATATATATATATATATATATATTAATATATGATTATTATTAGAATGTTTTGCATATTATTATTTCACTGATAACTATTCGCATTGAATTCATGGTTTTCAATGAATCATTCATTCATTCAGGTATCATCTAAGATAAATAAATAAATTTAACAAAGCTATCATCATATCAGCCGTTAACTGCCTATGCCCAATAGGCCTCACTAATAGGGGCTGCCAGTAGTTGCTATACTTGGCAGACGGATTGGCAACCGCTGTTGGACATTTGGTGATGTTTTAAGAGGGACACTAGTGCCCATCCCTTGATCATTACATTACATAATCGCCTACTACAACACCCACAGGAAAGAAAGAAGTAGCCCATTCTATGCCGCGACCATACGGCAACGCACAATGCTTTTATTTATTGATATAATTAAATAAATTTGCTAAAAATCTCTCTCATTTATCATACCTTGTGTGCTTTGAAACTAAGTTCGAGTACATTTTTTGAAAAAAAAACGTAGCTAAATTTGGTATCAGCTAATGAATACTTATTTTAAAAACTCAAAATGTCTACCGATTATTCCCCAGGTATTGGTGAAATCTCCGAAACTTTTTAAACATTTCATTTTATTAATCAATTGACACGAAGTTCAAGTTTAACAGAAGTCGTAAAACTTAATTATGATATCCATAGTCGCATTCAATAAGTAAGTATGGTATTTATTAATACGAATTATATTTATTTAAAGGTTAAAAAATACCATTGACTTTTATGAGTTAACTGTGGTCACTCACGACGTTGCACCAGATCGCAATTGTTAATTTGAAGCTGACATTTACCACTGCCTACATCCATTCGCCCTCACAAGTCACATCACATGATCCAATTGACATTTCTACCGATCATGATATTTGTAACACTATATGAGATACACATCGTGAAATACAACTTTTAAATACCTTTGATAAAAGAATTAACGAAATAATAATTAGATAGATAGATACTCTTTATTGTTTCCTGCAAAAGATTACAATAGTAAACTTATTATAAATATAGACAATTACAAGAAATAATAACAAAAATAAAACAAAACTAAAATAATTAACAAAAAATAACAACTATTTTTTTTTAATGGATGATAATGGAATAGTCACCCCGCCTACGCTAATGCAATACGCTGAAAGGACACCAGTGAAGGATGATAGGTGAAAATGAAAAGGCAAGTTTGTTAATCCATCGTGATGAATAAATACACCTAGAATTCTACAAGATGGTTTCCAGTAGGACCACGTGGAAGTCGACCTGATAGGGTATATTGCTTTCAATGGGACTGGTACGCATTACTAACAATCACTTCTCTCCCCAAATAACAGCTATTGCTACCTTACTAATCTTTACCTTTTATTAATACTGGCTTGTTAAAATTTTTTTTAAACAGTGACATTTATCAAACCGTCAATAAATATCAAACTGTTTCATAAATATCTGAGTTTATTTAAACTCTCAACAATTATTAAATTAAAAATAAAACTCCTCAATTGTTACTATGAAGAAAATATTTCCAACGTTATTGATATTAAAAACATTTTGTAATGAATAAGAAATGTCAGGTAAGCGTGCGAGGTAACTTGAGTTTTTAATAGGTGCACACACAATTCTTTTTACAAATTAACTCTTTATTGCACAACTTTAAGAATAATTACTACTCCTCTACCCAAAAGTTAGTCTGGAAGAGATAGCTTTAGCGAGAAGATCGCCTTTTGTACTATGTATAGTAGAATAGAGAAGGAAAAACTAAATATAGTATTAGTATACAACGCGATGACATTTTAACAAATCATTGATATAATCCAAGTCATTTAGTATACGAGTACTTGCCTTACGGAATTATATAGATATATATAATATGTCTAAAACACTTAGCATTGCAAATAATTATAATATTAATAAAATATAAAATAATCATTTATTAAATAAAAAATTAACTTTTATAAAAATACTCTCAGCCTGGAGAAATGTGCAATTAGCAATTATTTAAATGTAACCGTCGCCTATATACATGAATATACATACAATATACATGAATATCACTATGTATGCATATATATATGCACTATCATCATAAAATATACAGATACAGATTTATTATTCAAAATTTACAAAATTACAAATTTAGTCCAATATACTATGGACACCCATGGTATATTTTGTAATATTTATGTCTACCGATCAGCTAATTTTACATACATATATTCTATAGACTCCAACAAGAAGTGAATCTCCTTCAATTCGACTACATTTTAGGTGCATATTACTTATACTGTTTATATGTTCATTTCATGCTAATTTTGTTAAGATTATTGATCGATAGTTTTTCGCTTGGACATAAAAAAAGATGAATCAAGTCACGATTTCTTTAAACTTTAAAACGTAGTAAAAATAATATTTCATATGATAAAAATAATATTAATTATATTAAGCTTTTAAAAAAAGTGGTACCTGAGTAAGTACCATTCTTTTAACTTTATCATTAACAAAATAAATGGGAATTAAAAATCAGCAACGCACTCGTATCATCTTTCTGATATCACGGAAAGACTACTGCACTAAATTGGATGCGATTTTGACAATTGTGTATTTCTAACCGGGTAAAAAAAGCAGGCTTTATGTTCAACTATATATTTTTATGTATGGCTACTATTTTTCTTCTTTAATTCCGAAACAATTTTTTTTTATTGTTATTCCAAAAACTCTTAAGATGGTCCCATTGTCACCAAAATACCCCTTAAATTTTATAGGCATGTGTAAAGTTTACAAGTGTTTATTGTTTAGCCTTTTCGTTAGGTTAGGTTAGCCAATTCCCATCAGCTAGACGAACATCTCGTTTGCTACCAATAAAATCTTTAATTTTCAGTTATAAATACATTTTGATTTCATATTTTTCACCCATAATAAAATATACTAAAGATCTATTTATTTAGCGCTTTATAACGCCTATTTTATATAAATTATTAATAGATACTGAACAGGCATAAAGTACAGGAGACAGTCTTATTGCTAAGCAATCTCTTTCATATATTTGGATAGAGGGAACTTATTACTATACGTGTATCAATATATGCTGTGTTTGCCTATAAAAAATTGTTACACTTAGTTCTAAGCTTCATAATTGTATATATATTTACATTATTTGTGGAAACAATTGTTGGTAAACCTAAATAAATAAATAAATAAAATAAATAGAGGGAATGACTGAGAGAAAGAGTAAGCAGCACTGGACACTGAATCAGATGAAGAGTTTATCTTTGTCAGACTAAGAAATTTATCATATCCCGAATTCAAGTCAATTCGAATTCCGTAAATATATTGTGTAACTCAGCGAACGGTTATATCACGACACTTCAAATGTACATTTTACAAAGTCATGGTAACAATTAACGCTGCATATGATAAATTCAAAAAATACAGTGTAAAGTATATAATTGATTGATGTTTTAAAACTAAATCCATATTGAGATTAAGTAGGTATACCATAATTTATACTAGAAGTTTTTCACTTTTTCGTGTTAAAAATTAATTAATCATTCATTGACTACTAATATAATTAAACCAAATAATATGCATGTTAGTCATCATCATGCGACAAACCTTGACTGTATGATGTCTACAAAATATCAAACTGGTTTCCTATTAATTTATTGATAAACTTTTACTTAAACTTGAAGTGTTAATCTGTTCGTAAAATTCATTAATACATAAAGATTATTTCGCTATTTGTTTTATTCGGAAGTGACAACTCTAATCTTTGCATATAAATTGATTTTAATAGTATATCCCACTTTCGCTAGAATAACTTATACTTTTGATTATTATGCATATTTGTAACTAATAAAAATCTTTCTATTTCATTTTAGCAACCGACTCCTCGGCGCAAACACAAGAAATAAGTAAACCGAAAAGAAAATGTAAGTAGAATTTGCTTACAATTAAATACTTATGAAGCTAACAATATTAGATCGGTGCAATCAGTTTCACGAAGCTATCCAATCAATATACTTATATTTATTACTAAAATTTACAAAGCTCCTCCAGAAAGGATTTTATTTATTTACCAACATCATTTTTAAACAAAAAAGTATGAAAACCACAAAGCATAACGTAGCATCACCATTATTTTTAGAATGACCTCTTATTTACAATCTTTTTCACAACTGTCTGTAGTCCTAGTCTCCCAGCGTAGAATTTTTATCAATGAGTATTCGGGAGACGTTTTCCCGACGCGGCGCGGCGCCCGCCCCGCTCGCCGTCGATTTTCCTTTCAGTGCGACGCGGGACTCAGTCGGGTTACGGACGCCGCGGGCGTTGTGTCGCGACTTGATCGCACTCAACAGTACTCACTGTTTACTCCAAATACAGCCATTCAATCAAGAAGGGGCAACACACCGCACTCACACACGTACGTCCAATGTGATCATTTTGTGTGACCATAAACTTCCACTATTTTCAAACAAACATCCATCACACATCTTGTGGTTTATGTCAATGCGAACACGTTGTTATGTTTTGGCCTACATTCTCGAATACTAATTTCCTTATTTCTAATCTTATTTCAAAGTCATATCCACAATATTATTTTCAAAATCACGAACACTGTTTTTTACATAACAGGGTCTTCATTTTACATAGCTCCTATAATTATATTAATGATATTTACTAGTTTATTTGTGTACAAAACATTACATGTTTATGCTTTTTATATGTATATTTTTATATGTATATATGCGACAAATTAGTATATTAATTTATACTCCTAGCAACAAAAAAATAGAAAATAAATCTCTAATGACTGCCAACATTTACAAAAATACGTTTTGTTATGTTTTTAGCTGCTAACTTGTAATGCATTATTCGATTTTGTTCGATCGTCCACTCTTTAGGCGATGTTGTTGTTTTTATCAATATTTGTATTGCTACACTGTTCAATGAATTTTGCCACTCACTGGAGACATACATTCCAATACACATTTGCCGTCCTTTAAAATGAATAACCATATTAACTCATTTTGCCACTTTGTGCATATATCCAGCCTCTGTTTCTGTCTTACAAACAATGAAGTCTGCTTAATAATAGCTTACCATATAACAACAGAATATATTGTTATCAATACTAGTTGACACATTATGTATGTCTGTATTATTTCTTAACTTAAATTACTACTACATAACGTAATTACTTATAATGCCATAAAATTTGGATGTGATGTTTTTCGCAAATAACTAAAATATTCCTCTACAATTACAGTTTTAAAAATAGAAAGGTCTTAAATATATATATATATATATATATATATATATATATATATATATATATATATATATATATATATATATATATATATATATAATTTCTTTTACTTTAAAATAAATATTAAAATTAGCGTTTACTATTAAAAAAAAAGAGCAGATGAAATAAGAGAAAATGTTCAAGTTGTAGATTTATTACGTTAATAATCAATAATATCTCCTACATGATATATTTAAATATATCTACAAGTATGTAAAAGTATTTTTACTAGGTCTTTTAACAACAACAAATAAGTAAACGATTTATGTTTTTATTACGCATATTGATCTCTAATTATACTTCGAAATTAACTACGATTCCCAACTTATACGTATAGTTAGTTTTAGTCGAACTAAATTAAAAAGTAACCAATTTTTATGCGAATAAAAAGCGAAATTAGTAACGAGTCATTCAAGAAATTTACCGAATTTCGATTTATACTACTAATAAATATCAGCAGACTGTCTTATGGTCAAGAAAATTCATATTTACATTTTTAGTAAGTTCTATTGGAACAGTGACTTGCTTCGTAAATGGTATAGATACTGTATTCGATGGATGATAATTGAATGGTAACCTCGCGTGCACCATCATTATACGCTGGCAGACACCAATGAGGAATAATAGGTTTTTTTTTTTTTTACAACACAGGGGGCAAACGAGCATGCGGCTCACCTGATGGTAAGTGACTACCGCCGCCCTTTATCTTAACGCCGGTTAAGATAAAGTCAAATCCGTTAGCCCATCGTGACGAATTCACAAGGAATAAACTACAATGTTTTACATGGGGAAGCAGAGGTCAACCTATAGTAACTAACGGAATATATTGCTAGCAATCCCATCACCTCATATAGGTACTGTTGCACTTTTTACACTCATGATTATACTGTATGATTTGAACATCTTAAATTGTAAATGTGCAGCGTGTCGCATGGCGGACGAAACGACAGCAGACTGTCTGTTCGAACGACTCCGCGTGCACCAGCAGCGCGCACCAGACTCCACGGAGGTGGCGCGTGCCATCACATCACGTATCAACTCGCGTCTCACATCACACGGTCAGTACCACTATACCTTCACTATTTCTAGATGAAAGAGTAACATACGAGGATGGGTCTCACCTGGTGGTAAATGATTACCGTAGCTCATACCTTAGGTTATATAGATAGAGCGTCTCCATAGAAATGCTTCGAGAAAAACGGATCAACTTTTTCATGCAGTTTTGCGTGATAAATAGTTATAAATGATACCTTTATAACTTCTATATTTATTTTGTCTTATAATTTCTGCATCTTTTAATGCGTAAACACTCACTCTATTTATTAAATAACACGTCAAAGTACATTTTATGCGTAAGTATATAGAACACTGTTAAAAAAACGAGTCAGAAAAATTTACAATTAGCTGACAAAAGTTTAATCTGTTTTTAAGATTCGATGCTCTATCTATACAATCTAAGATAGATACTGAAAACACCAGATGGGTCGTATATAAGTTGTCGACCTTTTAAAAAGGTACACATATTACGAGTATAAAGAATACCTTACATGAATCTGTACTTCTACATAATAGCATAATCTGTCCTACCAACGGTATGATATTTGTGCACTATTTTAACGCTTTACTCAGCTGCATTATGATGCGATCGAGGAAGCTACGCACATAATGTGAGGAATACTTACAGAAGATCGCTTACATGTAGCTTGGACTCTATATGTAGTTAAATCTGTCATCTCATTGCTAAGTATCTAATTGAAGACAAAATTCAAATCTTACGCGATCATAAACATGATTTCATTTTGATTGCATCTTTTTTTATCTTTTTTATTAGAACCGAACCAATTTAATCGAATGAAGGACTCTCTATTAGTAGTACTCGTCTCCGGAAAGTTAGAAATTTACAATGACAAAATCTTTTAATAGCCGGATTAGAACTCACGACCTTCTTATTAATTGTCTGAACAAAGTCCGTATTTTAAACCGGCAGTCATATATGAAAAATAAATATAATTACACCTACGGGTTATTATTGAGGAATCAAAGTTCATCACTAATATATACAATGGTATGCCCTACTTCACAAAGTTTCATTTACTTTAGGGGGACAATTACAATGAACCCAATAACAATAGGTGATACCCTACTCTTTCCGCTGGTTCCACACAATAAACTTCCTATGAATGCCTCCACTTGCACGTCTGTTTGTCATATATATTATTTGGTATATCATCATATATGTAGATAGGATAAATTAAAATAATTTTCAATTGAAATAAGATTTTTTTTATATATACACTTTTTATATACCACTGAGGAGACAAATAAGCATACGGCCCATGTAATGGTAAGCAGTTAAACGTATCTTGCGTTTGATATTTATTACATTATATTATGTCATTAATATTTTAGATTTGAACTAAAGATTTGAATGTTTCTAATAAATTTCTGAACCGAACGAAAACTTTAATTCTTATTCTAATTAAATGGCTAAACTTACAATAGCGGTACAACTATTAATAAAATAAATAGAAAAATAAATACACAATCAAACAAAATACAAACAAATACACATAATATAAATATTTTACTGAACTAGGTGTTAACTTGCGGAAATGCATATCACTGGCTAATTTATTTATTTATTTAAATTTGGCTAATTGATTAGAATTATTTTGTTTAATGCTGCTACCATTAGTATGTGTATGACTGCCAACACTGGAAATTTAACCACCACTAAAATGCGAAGTTTTCGCAGTTTAGTTTTCAAATGGTTTACACTAAGCTCCGAGCAGCGATCTAATAAATTGCCTGAAGATGCCTCGTTTAGAGGTAAAACACAAGTTGCGGAGCATGCGTGAACAAAATGGTAGTCAGGAATTGATGACTAATATAGAAGGTTATAGAACTTCTGATAGTAATAGTGGTGATCAATCTTCGAGTGTTGGCAGTCACACACATACTAATGGCAGCGGAATTAAACAAAATAATTGTAGTCAAATGGCCAACATTAATATAAAATAACCTCGTCATATTATTCTTAATGTGAAATATTTACGTGTGAATTCTCATATAAAAAAAATAATCTTTACAATGACTTTAATAATTAAATACAAATTCAATTCACAATAGAACTTCAACATCGTCTAATGAGCGCAATGTCTAGTTGTTTATTTAGACTATCTTAGCAGTTGCTAAACCTAAAGTTAACAAGATTATTATTTACAATGTTCTATTATTCCATTAACTTACGTACAATTCACATCCCATCGCACAATATAGTATAATGGTATTACATATTATAGTAATAATAAAAAATATTTCATATACACAAATTACATTAAGTTAAAAGATTTTTAATTTAATTTCTGTGACAGTTGTTGAAACTTCTGGAAAGTTTAAGTGACTAGCGTATGAGTGAACGTTCAAGTCCCTAGAGAAGTTAAGTTTTCATTACAAACTGTCGAAATAAAAGCGAACGCAATCGTACCGTAAATGTTTGTAGGAACAACTCACTTGGCAATCTGGAGCCTAAACTAAACCGTATTCTATATCTTTGACACCACATCTCTTATAGATACTTATTAACTTGGACAATTACATTATTATTATTGTAATCTTAAATTATTAATAGCATAAATTACTAATATCATAAATATGAGAGTGAATTTGTTTGTTACTTTATAGTTCCTTAACGGCTTAATCTCTCACTATGACATTTAGTTTACACGTACCACATGGGATAGAGAAGAATATAAGCTACTTTTTACTCTTGTCAAAAAACATATCACGGTCACGCAGACGAAGTCGCAGGTAAAAGCTAGTATTGTAAAAATTTTAAAACATGTAGAATTTATAATGAAATACTTGAATATATCTACGGTTGTCTCTAATTGAAAGATATCATCACGTAAATCGGTGAGTGTAGAAAAATCTAAATTTGCGAATAAAGTTACTAGATAGTAGATATACGTACTGAATATTTTTACAATAAAAAATACAATAGCCATAATTAAATTATATTTATACTAAATGCTTATATTTAATCAAAACATGGTCAAAAGTATTCATTAAACCGGTTTATAACTGGCATAGACTATATTAACTACAGGAGCGCCAACTCTGTGGGTGTTCGGGGGCTCCAGCAACTACGAGATGTAAATAGTGCAGAGCACCCATGACGCTAGACATCATAATATAATTATTGTTTGCTTGGGCATCTCTGTCCCATTCGTGTTTCTACCGTGAAGCAATTATATCTGCATGGCTGTATTTCGGTTAAAAGGGTGGGATATAACAGTGAATTCATAGGGTACAGAGGAATAACACCTAAATCCTTAGGAATGGTAACGCATGGGAGATATCATGGGTGAAACAGTATACTCTGTTATGTCCATAGTACTGCTCATGTCTATAGGCGACGGTAACCATTTTCCTTCAGGTGGGCCGTCAGCTTGTTTGCCATTCTAAGTTGCATAAAAAAATAAAAGAAATACAAATAATCCTCATCATGTCATATGTTGTTTAAATCGCACTTGCTTATCCAAGAAGCAGTGAGCCATCAAAAGAGCATAAGCACCCACAAGGTTTTCTTGAAGCCAGCGCCCCTCATTACCTAATATTACTTAGCGTACAATTAAATTCAATCTTGACCTTTTTGAACTCTGTAAAAAAAAAACTCGTGTTTATGTCATGAGATAAAAGCAAAACTACGTGTGTTCTGTCCCTTTGTGGACTAATTTGATTATTTACTCGAGCACGCGTGCTAAAACTGTTTCACACATTCCAGTATTCGTATTAAGCTTTATCTTTTTGTCAGTTATTTTTTAATCATGATTTTGCGCAATGTTAATCTAATTATAATTAACTTTTCATTCTCTATACTTATATCTGTTTTTCCGTCTATTTTATGTCTGTTTGTCCATATTTCATAAACAATTTATGCTATAACACTCACCTACGAATATTTTATTTATTGAAACCTGACATTAAACTCAAGTGCATCTAAATTCGCTGCAGAATTTTAAAAAAATCTATGCAACTTGACCAACTTCGATGTAATCTACTGTAATCTCAACAACGTGCAATATCTCTGTGTGAAATGCTAATTTTAGTATATTGTTATTCTAAATGTAAGTATGTAAAAAGATTTACGTTTGGTATTATTTGGATTAACCGAATTGCATTACTACGCGCTCTGATTCTATAATATTCACTTGCATCAATTGTCACTACAGTTACTACAACAAACAAAAATATACATAAATCTACCTATAGATACATTCTTGTAACGGCAATTGTAGTCTGTTCTTACATATTAAAATATATGTCGATGTTACGTCGATTTTTTTTTAAATCTAGAACACATTCACTCGAAAATTCTAATAATACAGTTTAGATATGTCGCAGAATTGTATTGTAACATTGTTTCCTATAACGTCTCTTTCTTTTGAACAAGGAGATTTTGTTTTACAAAAAAAAAAATTATATCGTGACAAAAGTAACAGCCACTTTAAACTACTGAACCAAACTTTAAAAAAAACTATGGAACCTATCTAAAATTATATTATTGTTTGTAAAAAAAAAGAATTTTCTAAATTCTGTTTCTGTTTATAAATGACGAAGTTCAAAGATAAAAACATAAAAAATACAACCAATTGACAATATTGAAGTCGGTTTAATATATAAAAATATTTATGAAAACATTTACGATGTTGTGATAACAGTTAGAAACAACACGCTTAGTTCTATCTACTTTTAAATTAAGTAAAAAAATTTATTATGTTATACAAAATATCAGGTAAACAAACCTACTCAAATACGTTACTTTTTTAAATACCACATAACATAACATTATGCACATAAAACACCCAGAACAATACAAATGCTCTCATTTATGTATATAAATGTGTTTATTATGCAGAAATCGAACACGCAACCATCAATAGGTAAACCACCAATGTTATCGTTTTCAAAATATATTTTTAGGAAATTTCTAAAAGAATGACTTTCTTGATTCACCCATATTTTTTTTATATATAAAGCAATATCTTTTTTTTAT